TTGGCTCACTACAGCCTCAAACTCTTGGACTCAAGCGATTCTCCCACTTCAGCCTCCTGAGTAGCTGCAACTACGGGTGTGCACCATCACACTGAGAGGAGTTACCTAGCTTTTCCTTAGATAGGCCGCAAGGGAAGGGTCCCCAGAGAGCCCCCAACCCAAGGGTCAGTGTCTCATCCCCACATAACAACATAAAAAGCAGCCTGGTGGAAAAAACTCAAGCTGCAGGCACCGATAAAGGAACTAGCACAGGGCGGTGGTGTGCCTGGAGACCAGCCTGCAGCTGCACAGATAGGAGAACCTCCAGCCCACTGAGACAAAAACTTGCACAAACCTCCAGCTCACTCAGATAAGGGAACAAGACCTGCCATAGAAAGGCCTTTGTCCTTTGTATCATCAGCGGGCTCCCAGGAAGAGGTTTCTTTTCCTTTTGCAGGCATGAACACGGTGGGCTCCAAGGGGTTCCAGTAGGCACTTTCCTTTCTGGACTGTGAGCTCAGTCTCTACTAATCATTTCAGCCTGTTTGGTCCGGAGCCAAGCTTTCACTTCTGATAGGTCCTGATAGGTCCCAGGTTAAGCTGAGTAGCCCCAATGAATCACTTCAGCTGATTGCTCCCGGGCTAAGCTCAATCGCTTTCTCCAAGACAGCCCGCATAGTAAGCAAATTCCTCCTCCGTCAGTCCACAAAAACCCCCGACCCCAACCTCATACTGGCAACCCATTCAGGCCCCTCCTTTCCGCTGTGGAGAGCTTTCTTCTTTTGCTTATTAAACTTTCGCTTCAACCTCACCCTTGTGTTCACGCTCTGGAGACAAAGAACTCCAGGTACTATCTCAGACAACCAGAGATTGCTACATTTCAGTGCACTGACGAGACTACACCACCTCACAAATTTTTGCATTTTTTGTAGAGACAGGTTTTCACCCTGTTGCCCAGGCTGGTCTTGAACTCCTGACCTCAAGCGATCTGCCCACCTTGGTCTCCCAAAGTGTTGGGATTAAAGGTGTAAGCCACCACATCCAGCAGAATGTCATTTTTCACCTATCAAAATGGCAAAGATATTTTTAAAAGATAAAATTTGGCAAAGTTGAGGGAAATTGCTGCTGTGTAAGGGAATGTGTTAGTGTTCTGAAGGCTTACATGAAATACATATTCAAAGCCTTCGACGTCTACCTATTTGACCTAAATACCTCACTTTATATTTTTCCAAAGAAAATAAAGGTCAAATGTTTTAGAGTATTTAGGATATTTCCTGCAACATTGTTTATAATAGCAAAAAATAAAATTTTAGAAAAAGCTTCAGTGTATATCAACGAATGGTTAAATATATAATGTATAATCTTTATAACAGCATGAAGTAGGTATCTCCTTTTTTTTTTCTTTTTTGAGATGGAGTTTCGCTCTTGTTGCCCAAGCTGGAATGCAAATGGCATAATCTTGGCTCACCACAACCTCCACTTCCCTGGTTCAAGTGATTCTCCTGCCTCAGCCTCCTGAGTAGCTGGGATTACAGGCATGCACTACCATGCCTGGCTAATTTTTTGTGTGTGTATTTTTAGTTGAAGCGGGGTTTCACCATGTTAGCCAGGCTGGTCTCGAACTCCTGACCTTAGGTGATCCGCCCACCTCGGCCTTCCCAAAGTGCTGGGATTACAGGCATGAGCCACCATGCCTAGCCTCTGTAGTTCTCTTAACTCCAATTAACACCTTCACAAAATTCCCCAGGGCCCATCCCTCCCCATTAGCCACCTCCCATCATATCATAGGTAGATATGCAAAACACTGTATTGAAGGGCCAGGTAGATCTCAGAATGGCATTACAGCATGGAGAGACAAGTTAGTACAGCACATGCTCGATTCCATGAGTTCAGCTGCATGCTTCCAAGAGATAGTTGTGTTGGCTCCTGTGACTACTTCATGCCAGAAGTGCTTATTGACACTGTGATTTAAACATTACATAACTAATATTAAAAAATTGTTTGAGAAGACAGGGTCTTACTCTGTCACCCAGGCTGGAGCGCAGTGGCATGATCATAGCTCACTGCAGACTCAAACTCCTGGACTCAAGCAATCCACTCACCTCAGCCTCCTGAGTAACTGGGACTACAGGGGCACCCCACCATGGTTGGCTAATTTTTTAACTTTTTGTACAGAGAGGGTCTTGCTATGTTTCCCAGGCTGGCCTCAAGCGATCCTCCCACCTCAGTCTCCCAAAGTGCCGGGATTACAGGTATGAGCCGCCACTGTGCCTGGCCTAAAATCTTTTTGTTAAAAATGCTTCCCACCAGTCGGGGATAGTGGCTCACTGGTCTGTAATCACAAGACTTTGGGAGGTTGATGTGGGTGGATCACCTGAGGTCCGAAGTTCGAGACCAGCCTGGCCAACATGGTGAAACCTTGTCTCTACTAAAACTACAAAAATTAGCCGAGCATGGTGGTGCACACCTTTAATCCTAGGCACTCGGGAGGCTGAGGCAGAACTGCTTGAACCCGGGAGTCAGTGGTTGCACTGAGCCAAGATTGTGCCACTGAACTCTAGCCAGGGCGACTGAGTGAAACTACATCTCAAAAAAAAAAAGAAAGAAAGAAAGAAAAGAAAGAAAGAAAGATCAGGCATGGTGGCTCACGCCTGTAATCCCAGAACTTTGGGAGGCTGAGGTGGACGGATCACGAGGTCAGGAGTTCAAGGCCAGCCTGACCAACATGGTGAAAACCCGTCTCTACTAAAAGTACAAAAAAAAAATTAGCTGGGCATGGTAGTGTGCGCCTATAATCCCAGCTACTCTGGAGGTTGAGGCAGGAGAATCACTTGAACCCAGGAGGTGGAGGTTGCAGTAAGCAGAGATTGCACCACCACACTCCAGCCTGAGTGACAGAGTGGGACTGCCTCAAAAAAAAAAAAAAAAAACTTTCCACCTAAATCTGAGGCAGAGCCAAGTTTGTGACCACTAATAAAGAACCCACAGTAGCCAGAGGCGGTGGCTCAAGCCTGTAATCCCAGCACTTTGGGAGGCCAAGGCATGTGGATCACGAGGTCAAGAGATCGAGACCATCCTGGTCAACATGGTGAAACCCCGTCTCTACTAAAAATACAAAAAAGTAGCTGGGCATGGTGGCACATGCCTGTAATCCGAGCTACTCAGGAGGCTGAGGCAGGAGAATTGCCTGAACCCAGGAGGCGGAGGTTGCGGTGAGCCGAGATCGCACCATTGCACGCCAGCCTGGGTTACAAGAGTGAAACTCCGTCTCAAAAAAAAAAAAAAAAAAAAAAGAACCCACAGTAAATATTACCTCCTTGGGAGCACCTTTTTCAGAGATTACTTTTTCTTCTATGTAGCCTGTCTTGTATCTTCTGAACTTGATCAAGTTACCTTCCTGTCAAGAAAGAAACGGTCTTGACCTCAGATTAATGGGAACGTCTCCCTTGGGCTTCCTAGGTGACACTGCGTTATTAGGTATGACCTCCCTCGCTCTATTCCTTGAAAGCAGTACAAGTACTGGGCAGGGGTGCCCCGACCCACGCTGCCTGGTTTTGAATCCCAGCACCTCCACGTGTTACATATCAGACCTTGAACAAGGTACTTAAGCTCTCCGTGCTTCAGTTTCCTGAGTGGCCTAACTCTGAAAGGGGGTTACAGAACCTGCCCATTAGTGTTGATTGGAACAAGTATAGGTGCTCACACCTGCCAAGTGCTGAGGATAGTGCCTACCTATCACATGGCAATGCTCCATAAGCATAAGCGGCTATGATTATTGTGGTTCCTATTTTTTAGATATACCCTGCCTAGCCACTAGCAGAATGTGCTAAATAGCTGTCTGGTGAATGAAAGAATGACCAAAGCGTCCTGTTTCCTCATCTAGATCATCTCTAAACAACGCCTCATGGTATGGCTTCAGACCTAAAGCTTCCCACAAATCTTCACAGATGCAGTATCTTTGTTAAATCCCTTCACCCCAACTTTTCATCAACCCTCTGACAACAAATGCCAAATGCTGGGAAATAGAGAGAAGCAAAGGAATCATGTACGGCTGACGGGATTTTAGACAACACTGGTTAGGTTTAAAGAACGTCATCCAAGTGCCCTGGCAGGAAACCTTGTGTACTGACAGTTCCAATGTGTGTAAGAAAAGAATGCATCCAATGGTATAAAAAGGCATTCTGGTTGGGTGCGGTGACTCACACCTGTAATCACAGTACTGTGGGAGGCCGAGGCAGGAGGATCAGCAGGTCAAGCAATGGAGACCATCCTGGCCAACATGGTGAAACCCCCGTCTCTACTAAAAATACAAAAATTAGCTGGGTATGGTGGCGCGCACCTGTAGTCCCAGCTACTTGGGAGGCTGAGGCAGAAGAATTGCTTGAACCCAGGAGGTGGAGGTTGCAGTGAGCAGAGATCACAACATTGCACTCCAGCCTGGCAACAGAGTGAGACTCGGTCTCAATCAATCAATAAAGGCATTCTGTCCTCAATTTTTTTTTTTTTTTTTTGAGATGGAGTCTCGGTCTGCCGCCTAGGCTAGAGTGCAGTGGCGTGATCTCAGCTCACTGCAACCTCCACCTCCTGGGTTCAAGTGATTCTCCTGCCTCAGCCTCCCTAGTAGCTGGGACTACAGGCACCCACCACCAAGCCCAACTAGTATTTTTGTATTTTTAGTAAAGATGGGGTTTCACCGTGTTGGCCAGGGTGGTCTTGATCTCCTGATCTCGTGATCTGCCCACCTCAGTATCCCAAGGTGCTGGGATTACAGGTGTGAGCCACTGTGCCTGGCCTCTCCATTTTTTTTTTTTAAGCAGATGGGAGGCAACATAGTAGGTTCATAAATAAAACTGTTTTGGAAGTATTTATTGTTTTTTTATTTATTATTATTATTATTATTTTTAAGACGGGGGTTTCACTATGTTGGTCAGGCTGCTCTTGAACTCCCAACCTCAGGTGATCCGCCCGCCTTGGCCTCCAAAGTGCTTGGATTACAGGCGTGAGCCACCACGCCCGGCCGGAAGTATTTACTGTTTAATAATTCTTTCTCCCCTCAGACCCATCCAGCCACTCTCTCTTTCTGTTCTGATCATCCTAAAGGCTGAATCCATTCTCCTCCTGTATGGAGGATGAAAAGCAACACTAAAACCAATGCATATGATCGGGTCTTCATCAGATATCATGTCACTGTGGGTAGAGTGCCAATTTCAACAAGTGTGGCTTTCCTTGGGCTCCAAAAAGTAGTCCTTTCTCAAGGTCGCTGGGCCACTCATGGAGCTGAAATGCCGCTGCCCATCTAAGTACAACATGGACTCTGAAACACAAGAAAGAGAACCCTGGAGAAACGAGTAGCACCTTAGAAAACATCATATTGTCGTAGAGACATGAGACTACTTGGGAACACTGAGAAAGAATGAGATGCACTGTTGGGCCGAGGGTGCCACATTCCCATGGGAGCAGGCATGACTCCTGGCCCCTTCCTCTGGCTGGATCAGCTTTTGACTACCAGTGGCTGCTTGCCTGCCTGAGGGCCACAGGTATCTTTGGTCTTCAGGGCGGCCAAATCTGAAAAGCAAAAACTCTCAAAGACATGCGCTTGGGCTGACAGGCATCGATACACATTTCCTACAATTCAAAAGGAGAAAAATGTCCTCAGAAGTTCTTCCCTTTGTTAGGGACAAGCAATAATCACTGCTTACCTCCATACGTTTTGGGGAAAACCAATGGCACTTCTTTTTCTGACATGAACGTGAAATGGAAGACATTGGTGGTTGTATGAGTTTTCTCCTGCAGAGAGGCCACTTCACTGTGTACTCTGACTTGAATGTAATTATTCTGCGTAAAGCATACCTAACAGATTACAGACACTACAGTCAGTCAACTGCATGAGGAAGGGGAAAAGGCAGTCATAAGAGAAAACAGTAGCTTTTGGACATGAAAACTTCCAGGCTCAAATGAAAAAAAAAAAAAAGTTGTATTTCATCTCTCGTCACACACCTACCTGCGAAGAAAGAAAGAGCAAGGAGCCAACCTCAACAGGTTTCTGAAACATGATGTCATCTACTGCCACCACAAATGGGCGAGAACCACTGTTGGGGGAAAAGACAGAATTGAGGGTAAACTGCAAAATTCCGATGACCTCAATTTTCTCCCCTAACAACTAACTGAAGCCAAATAAAAAGGAACAAAGAATAAAGTTAGGGAAGAGGGAAATGACCCTACCACTGAGGAACGGTAAAGAGATGCCACTGTGACCAGATTAGGGCCAAAATAACTATATCTTTTCCCTCCTACATATCATCACTATATTTTCTGAGTGAGTTTTTTCATGTACGAACTTACAAAGTCAGAGCAACAACCTTCTTTTTTTTTTTAGATGGAGCTTCACTCTTGTTTCCCAGGCTAGAGTTCAATGGCTTGATCTCAGCTCAACACAACCTCTGCTTCCCGGGTTCAAGCAATTCTCCTGCCTCAGCCTCCTGAGTAGCTAGGATTACAGGCATGTGCCACCACGCCTGGGTAATTTTGTATTTTTAGTAGAGACAGGGTTTATCCATGCTGGTCAGGCTGTTCTCAAACTCCTGACCTAAGGTGATCTGTCCGCCTCCGCCTCCCAAAGTGCAGGGATTACACGTGTGAGCCACCACACCTGGCTGAGAGCAACAACCTTCTAAAATGAAGATCCAACTCAGCTGGTATGAGTGTGGTATTTAATTTAAAAACATAACATAGGCCAGGCATGGTGGCTCATGCCTGTAATCCCAGCACTTTGGGAAGCCAAGGCGGACGGATCACCTGAGGTCAGGAGTTCAAGACCAGGCTGACCAACATGGAGAAATCCCCATCTCTACTAAAAATACAAAATTCACCAGGCATGGTGGTGGGCACCTGGATTCCCAGCTACTCGGGAGGCTGAGGCAGGAGAATCATTTGAACCCAGGAGGCAGAGGTTGTGGTAAGCCTTGATCACACCACTGCACTCCAGACTGGGCAACAAGAGTGAAACTCTGTCTCAAAAAAAAAAAAAAAAAAAACCATAACATATTCCCATACACACCAAGATTGGTCCAAAATGTTTAAATTGAATGGGGTGATATAAATTGCTTCTCAGAAGTTAAGGCTGCCTTACATGTAACTCACCCAAAGCTACAAGCAGTAGCCCATGCAAGTTCATATGCTTTCCTCATAAGGAAACCACCAAAGATCCGATTGAAAATGTTCCGCTCCTACAGGACGTAAAATAAGTATCAATGAATACAAACTTCTGGCCACCTTTGTATACAGAACAGAGGAATTAACAATGCCACAGGACAAAGGTCAGTTTAAAGGTGTGTCAAATCTTGGACAAATATCATGAATGGAAGCTATCCTATTCAGATTTCTCACTAAATTACAATACCTGAGGATGGCAAATTTCCAAGCTCTTCAGTTTTGAATTCTCCATCCACACTGCATTAGGGGGCAAAACTCGACTTCGAAAACTTATAGTCCTGTACAAATGAATATTTATTAAACACTGTTAATGCCATGGTTCTGCTGCTGAAAACTAAAAACATTTGCAAGCTGCTCCCAATATACTCAGGCAACCTGGCTCTGGAGAAGGCTAAGGTTTAGGCCTGGCACAGTGGCTCGTGCCTGTAATCTCAGCACTTCGGGAGGCTGAAGCAAACGGATCACCTGAGGTGAGGAATTCGAGACCAGCCTGGCCAACATGGTGAAACCCCATCTGTACTAAAAATATTTTTTAAAAAATAGGCAGGCACGGTGGCAGGCGCCTGTAATCCCAGCTACTCGGGGGTGGGGGTACTGAGACAGGAGAATTGCTTGAACCTGGGAGGCACAACTTGCGGTGAGCCGAGATCGTGCCACTGCACTCCAGCCTGAGTGACAGAGTGAGACTCTCTCAAAAAAAGAAAAAGAAAAAGGTGGGGTGTGGTGGTTCACACCTGTAATCCCAGCACTTTGGGAGGCCGAGGCGGACAGATCACCTTAGGTCAGGAGTTTGAGACCAGACTGACCAACATGGTGAAACCCCATCTCTACTAAAAATACAAAATTAGCCAGGTGTGGTGGCCCGTGCCTGCAATCTCAGCTACTCCGGAGGCTGAGGCAGGAGAATCACTTGAAACCCGGAGGCAGAGTTTGCGATGAGCCGAGATCATGCCACTGTGCTCCAGCCTGGGAAACAAGAGTGCAACTCCATCTCAAAAAAAAAAAAAAAAAAAGGCTAAGGTTTAAATGTTTTCCCAACATCAACATGAAATCTTATCGTCCTTACTTTGGATCCAGTGTGCTGAGAAACATCTCATGGATGGTGGTCCTCTCCTCAGCGCTGGGGGCCATTTTCAGTAACGATGTGGAGCTGAAGGCAATTCTTCTTCCCTTGTTCACTGGAACATGGGAGAATAAGGAGCAATGATGAGGAGGGTCACACTGTAACACAGGGAGCTCTGACTGGGAATGCCTTTCAATCTCATGGAATATTATACGCATATCCAAGAGAAAACTGCAGAGGCCACATAAAACTCCCAGTGAGCCTTTGGTTTCACATGGAAATATATTGGCTCAGTGTGAGATCACTTGAAATCATCCTGATCCAGAGCCCTGACCTGCAGTTATCCCATCAAGAGGTATTTCTCACTTCATTAAAACAGAGAAAGCAGGCCGGGTGCAGTGGCTCATGCCTGTAATCCCAACACATTGGGAGGCTGAGGCAGGAGGATCGCTTGAGTCCAGAGCTCAAAACCAGCCTGAGCAACACAGAGAGACCCCTGTCTCTACAAAAAAAAAAAAAAATTTAATTAGCCAGGCATGGTGGCATGCAGTTAAGAAATCGAGACCATCCTGGCCAATATGGTGAAACCCCATCTCTACTAAAAATACAAAAATTAGCCAGGCATGGTGGTATGTGCCTGTAGTCCTAGCTACTGAGGAGGCTGAGGCAGGAAAATCGCTTGAACCCAGGAGGCAGCGATTGCAGTGAGCTGAGATCATGCCATTGTACTCCAGCCTGGGCGACAGAGTGAGATTCCATCTCAAAGGTCAGGAGTTTATCAGCCTAGCCTACATGAAGAAACCCCATCTCTACTAAAAATACAAAAATCAGCTGGGCGTGGTGGTGCACACCTGTAGTCCCAGCTACTTGGGAGGCTGAGGCAGGAAAATTGCTTGAACCCGGGAGGCAGAGGTTGCAGGGAGCCAAGATTGTAGCACTGTACTCCAGCCTGGCAACAGAGCAAGACTCCATCTCAAAAAAAAGAAAAAAGACATTTGACTGGTATGTAGAGCCCATATAAAATCTTAAGTTATCTTTTCTGCAGTATAATTAATGTGCTTTTAAAATTTATTTCATTATAAACAAATTATTGTACATTCTCCTTGTCTAAAGAGCTCCTCTTCCTCTGGGCTTTCAGGGATGAGTGGATTTACAAATGCCGGCCTAAAAAGAAGAAAAGAAAAGAATTTAAAATATGCTGTTATCTAATAAAACTCGAAGATGAACAATCACCCACTAGTTATAAAGAATCTGCTTTTCATTTTGGGTAGTGCTTACCCCTGCCTTACACATGAACACTAACAGTTAGGGAAGCCTTATGGTTACAGATAACTGCACACTAGAAAGTTCACATTATAAAGAGGATTCTGGCATTTGCCAAAATGTTTAACCTGATTCTAATCATGAGGAAACAATGAAATACAGGTTGTAGAACATTCTACAAGAAAACTGGCTTGGATTTTTGGTCAATTTTTGAAAGACAGCAAATGGGAGAAAGACTGTTCTAAAGAAGCAGGATTACCAAATGCAATATACAATTCTTGAGGGATTGGATCTGGAATCAGGGAGATAGCTATAAAAGACATTTTAGGGACAACTGGTGAAATCTGAATATGGATCACATATGAAATCATTGTATCTCTCTTAAATTTCTCGGATATAATAAAGGCAGTGAGGTTATGTAGAAATAGCTGGTTCTTAGGAAATACATGCTGAACTACTGATGGGTAAAGCAGTCTCAAACTTACCTTCCAATGATTCATGGGAAAAAAATATGTAAATGTGTGTATTTATAGAGAGGGCAAGAGAATAACACAAATACAATACAATTTAGGTGAAAGGCATGTTTGTTGCATTATTCTTTCTACTTTTCTGTAAGCATCAAATTTCTTGAAATAATAAGGGAAAAAGGATAATACTTCACTGCGGTAGAATCCAAACATTTGATGAAACAATGGAAACAAAAGATTTGAAACAGGCCCGGGGCATGGTGGCTCATGCCTATAATCCCAGCACTTTGGGAGGCCAAGGCAGGAAGATCACCTAAGGTCAGGAGTTCGAGACCAGCCTGACCAACGTGATGAAACCCTGTCTCCACTAAAAATACAAAAATTAGCCAGGCGGGGTGGCGGCCACCTGTAATCCCAGCTACCCAGGAGGCTAAGGCAGGAGAATCACCTGAACCCAGGAGGTGGAGGTTGCAGTGAGCCAAGATCGCATCACTGAACTCCAGCCACGGCAACAAGAGCAAAACTCTGTCTCAAAAACAAAAGAATCGAAACACCAGTTTGGAAAAGTGACATGCGTCAGCTGGAAGTGAAACTTGTAGCAGTGGCTTCAGTGCTTGAATAGAAGCCCCAGGCCAGTCACTGGCCACAGCAGGTCAGCTGGGGCTGGCAGGAAGGGCCAGACTAGATGGGTGTTATTCTTCCCTCAGATTACTAAGTGATCAACATATGTTTCTATCTTAACTTGGCTTTCCAAGTCAGCTTTCCATGCAGCAGAAAAGATTTTTCACTGCAGACTTCTAAATCAAGTTTCTAATACAAATGAGATTTTTCCACAGGCCCTGACTCTGTCCTGTGCAAAGAGCAATCCGTCCCATCCCAGCTCTACCCCTACAATTACTTTTTCTCAATTTGGATATCTTGGGTGTAACTGTTGTTAGAAACCAAGAATTCAATTTCAGAGAAAAAAGATTATGTAAACTAAGTTAAACTCTATACGGTTAAATTCGACTTGAAATGACCATATAAACCAGGCGTCCCCAAACTACGGCCCGTGGGCCGCATGCGGCCCCCTGAGGCCATTTATCTGGCCCCCCACCGCACTTCAGGAAGGGGCACCTCTTTCATTGGTGGTCAGTAAAAGGAGCACAGTATGTGGCGGCCCTCCAACGGTCTGAGGGACAGTGAACTGGCCCCCTGTGTAAAAAGTTTGGGGACGCCTGATATAAACTAATGAGGCTTCTGAGGCAGGGTCTTGCTCTGCTGCTCAGGCTGGAGTGCAGTGGTGCAACCTCATCTTACTGCAACCTCTGCTTCCTGGGTTAAAGCGATCTTCCCACCTCAGCCTCCCACATTGTCTGCAAGTACAGACGCATGCCTACCACAGCTGGCTAATTTTTTGTACTTTTAGTAGAGATTTCACCATGTTGCCCAGGCTGGTCTTGAACTCCCTAGCTCCAGCAATCTGCCTACCTCAGCCTCCCAAAGTGCTGGGATTACAGGGGTAAGCCACCACACCCAGCCCTCATGAGGCTTTTTCTTTATTTAAAATATCCTAGCTCTGTCCACTGAAAAGGCCTAGAAACAGTAACAAGTTAGTAACAATGTTCAGTTCCAGTGCCCATATTTTGATGTCTAAATACTGGTCCCCCTAAAAGAACCCCAGAACTACTCAGGGAAACGCTGACTCCAGGCCTGGGGCAGGAAATATGCAACATAAGCCCAAGACATCCTGTGCCAGAGAGCAGGAAGGTAGCAAAGAGATGGGGGAAAGGACGCAGGAGCCAGCTTAGAGGAGCCCCCACTGACCAAAGATGGCACACTCACAGAATCAAGAGAAAACAACGGCTGCAATTAATTGAAATGCATGTAATATATTGAAACCATGAATTCATAATGATACTTTCCTGGCAGGACACAGTGGCACATGCCTGTAATACCAGCAGTTTGGGAGGCCGAGGCGAGAGGATCACTTGAGCCCAGGATTTTGAGACCAGTCTGACCAACACGGCAAAAACCCCATCTCTACAAAAAATTTAAAAATTAGCTGGGCAGCTACTCAGAAAGCTGAGGCAGGAGAATCGCTTTAACTGGGAGATAGAGGTTGAAGCGAGCTGAGATCACACCACTGCACTACAGCCTGGGTAACGAGAGCGAAATTCCACCTCAAAAAAAAAAAAAAATTAGCTGGGCATGGTGGTATGCATCTGTGGTCCCAGCTACTCAGGAGGATGGGGCAGGAGGATTGCTTAAGCCTAAGAGGTCCAGGATGCAGTGAGCCATGTTCATGCCACTGCACTCCAGCCTGGACAGCAGAGCAAAACCTCATCTCAAAAAAAAAAAAACCGGCCGGGCGCGGTGGCTCACGCCTGTAATCCCAGCACTTTGGGAGGCCGAGGCGGGTGGATCACGAGGTCAAGAGATCGAGACCATCCTGGCCAACATGGTGAAACCCCGTCTCTACTAAAAATACAAAAATTAGCTGGGCATGGTGACGCACGCCTGTAGTCCCAGCTACTAGGGAGGCTGAGGCAGGAGAATTGCTTGAACCCAGGAGGCGGAGGTTGTGGTGAGCCGAGATCGCGCCATTGCACTCCAGCCTGGGTAACAAGAGCAAAACTCTGTCTCAAAAAAAAAAACAAAAAACAAAAAACAAAAAAACTGGGGCTGGGCACAGTGACTCATGCCTGTTATCTCAGCACTTTGGAAGGCCTAAGTGTGCAAATCACTTGAGGTCAGGAGTTCTAGACCAGCCTGACCACCATGGTGAAACTCTGTCTCTACTAAAAATACAAAACAAATTAGCCGAGCACAGTGGCGCGTACCTGTAGTCCCAACTACTTGGGAGGCTGAGGCAAGAGAATCTCTTGAACCCAGGAAACAGGCTGCAGTGAGCCGAGATAGCACCACTGCACTCCAGCCTGGGTGACTGAGCGAGACAGTTGTCTCAAACACACACACAGACAGAAAAACAAAAAATAAAATAAAATTTAAAAACATGATACTTGCCGGGCGCGGTGGCTCATGCCTGTAATCCCAGCACTTTGGGAAGCCGAGGCGGGTGGATCACGAGGTCAAGAGATCGAGAACATCCTGGTCAACATGGTGAAACCCCATCTCTACTAAAAATACAAAAAATTAGCTGGGCATGGTGGCGCGTGCCTGTAATCCCAGCTACTCAGGAGGCTGAGGCAGGAGAATTGCCTGAACCCAGGAGGCGGAGGTTGCGGTGAGCCGAGATCGTGCCACTGCACTCCAGCCTGGGTAACAAGAGCGAAACTCCGTCTCAAAAAAAAAAAAAAAAAAAAACATGATACTTTTCTAAAAAGCCAAAAAACTGGGAAAAGCATGTCATCACTAGCTAGTGAACCAACTCCTTATTCTGAAAACAAGTAAATAAAAGACAGGAATGAAGCATGGATCCTAACTCTCCATTTCAAACCCAAATGCCCTAGTTGTTAGGAGAAAGCTCTGCTTTAGAGAACCCCAGCTAACAAATGTAGAAGGAATGACAAAATTTGAGAATTACTTGAAACCACCTAATGATAATGATCACAGCAATGATCAGCAGTGGACCTTGAAAGCACTGGAAAAGACTGCTGGGAAACTCAGCTACTTGCAGGATGACAAAGTACACCCCTGCAGACTGTTGCTGATAAGAAGAGGAAAAACTGAACTTCACAAAGGAGAGATTAGGGTGTCACTGCTTGAACCCACACACCAATCTGAGCATCACTGTGAGTGGGACAACCTTTACCTCCTGATATGACACAACGTGAGATACAACACAAGATATACGACATCACCTATGTAGTACTCTCACCATATACGCTCAACCCAAATCTAATACAAGGATTTAGATCTAACTTCAGGTGATAGAAATTACTAGGGATAGGGAAACAAGACCAACCAACCAACCAACAAACCACCCTGGGAAAGCAATAGGGCAAATCCAGAAAGCAGGACACTGTTTAGAACTACTACCCAGCCTCTCAACGAGTGAGAAAGAAACAATAAGGAGACTGTGAAGATTCAACTATTCTGGATTAAGACAGATTTAAGAGACTGCACAACTTGGCTGGGCGCGGTGGCTCACACCTATAATCCCAGCACTTTGGGAGGCTGAGGCGGGCAGATCACTTGAGTTCAGGAGTTCGATACCAGCTGGGCAACATGGTGAAACCCCATCTTTACTAAAAATACAAAAATTAGCTCAGTGTGGTGGCACATGCCTATAATCCCAGCTACTCAGGAGGCTGAGGCAGGAGAATCGCTTGAACCCAGGAGGTGGAGGTTGCAGTAAGCAGAGATGCGCCTGGCCAACAAAAGCAAAACTCCATCTAAAAATATATATATATATTCTCTTAAGTAACTACATTACTATTACCTGGTCTAACAAAAATAAGTCCTTAATATATTATAATATTCAGTTCATATCCAGTTTTCTCCAAATATATTTTGAATGATATATTTTTTCAAATCAGGATCCAAATATGATCCACACATTACATTTGACTTTTATGTTTGTAAGTCTGTTTTTTGTGTTTTTTTTTGGTAACAGCTTTATTGAGGTATAATTCAAATACCACACAATTCATCCATTGAAAGTGTACAATTTAATAGCTTTTAGTGTATTCACAGAGTTGTGCAATATCTTTTTTTTTTTTTTTTTTGAGGTAGGTAGAGTCTTGCTCTGTCGCCCAGGATGGAGTACAGTGGCACGATCTTGGCACACTACAACCTCTGCCTCCCAGATTCAACCTCAGCCTCCCCAGTAGCTGGGACTATAGACACGTGCCACCATACCCAGCTAATTTTTGCATTTTTAGTAGAGACAGGATTTCACCATGTCAGCCAGGCTGGTCTTGAACTCCTGACTTCAAGTGATCCACCCGCCTCAGTCCCCCAAAGTGCTGGGATGCTGGGATTATAGGCACGAGCCACTACACACAGTCTGAGAATGTTCTCATTTTTTAAAAGATGCCTACACTAGGCCGGGCGCGGTGGCTCAAGCCTGTAATGCCAGCACTTTGGGAGGCTGAGGCGGGTGGATCATGAGGTCGAGAGATCGAGACCATCCTGGTCAACATGGTGAAACCTCGTCTCTACTAAAAATACAAAAACTTAGCTGGGCATGGTGGCACGTGCCTGTAATCCCAGCTACTCAGGAGGTTGAGGAAGGAGAATTGCTTGAACCCAGGAGGCGGAGGTTGCGGTGAGCCGAGATCACGCCATTGCACTCCAGCCTGGGTAACAAGAGCGAAACTCTGTCTCAAAAAAAAAAAAAAGATGCCTACACTAAAGTATTTAAGAGTAAAATGTCATTATGTCTGGGATTTACCTTAAAATATTATAAATTTTTTTAAACAAAAAACAGATGGAACAAAATGTTTCAATTAAAACTGTTAAGTCCAAGTGATAGGTATATAGACATTCGTTATAGTCTTCTCCCCAGTCTTATGTATCTTTGAAATCCTTTGAAATAAACAATTATGAAAAAAATACCAATTACCCTTTATTTTCAGAATCACGAGCCACCATTACAAATGTTGCATCCAAAACAGGACAAAATTCATCACCATGTAACTAAAGAACAAAGGAAAGAAAATGTACATATGAGAAATAGATTTTTTGGGAAGACCTACCACAATTCTAACAGACAGTATATATGCTTTGAGAAAGAATGAAATTGGCCAGGTGCAATGGCTCCCACCTGTAATTCCAGCACTTTAGGAGGTCGAGGTGGGAGGATCACTTAAGGCCAAGAATTTGAGACCAGCCTGGACAATATGCCAAAATCTAGTCTCTACCAAATAATACAAAAATTAGCAGGGTGTGGAGATGCATGAGTCTAATCCCAGCTGCTCAGGAGACTGAGGCATGAGAATTGCTTGAACCTAGGAGGCTAAGGTTGCAGTGAGCTGAGATCGCAGGTCTCTGATCAGAAAAAAAAAAAAAGAGAGAGAGAGAGAGAAAGCCTGAAATTGGAAAAAGAGGAGAAGCATGCTCATTAACCACCATATGCGGCCAGGCACAGTGGCTCATGCCTGTAATCCCAACACTTTGGGAGGCCAAGGCGGGCAGACCAGGAGGTCAGAAAACCATCCTGGCCAACATGGTGAAACCTCGTCTCTACTAAAAATACAAAAATTAGCCGGGCCTGGTGGTGGGCGCCTGTATTCCCAGCTACTTGGGAGGCTAAGGCAGGAGAATTTCTTGAACCCAGGAGGCAGAGGTTGCAGTGAACCAAGATCTCACCATTGCATTCCAGCCTCGGTAACAGAGCGAGACTGTCTAAAAAAAACAAAAACAAAAAACAAAAAACCACAAAAACCACCACCTGCTAAGGGCCTACCTTAAGCCAGGCACAGCACTGGGCTCTGGGAATGGCAGGATGACAAAGGAGGCTGTGGCCTAGCAGAGGAGAAAAATACCTCAAAGCCCAAACAGGGGGCTGGGCACAGTGCCCCACGCCGATAATCCCAGCATTTTGAGAGGGCAAGATGGGAGGATCACCTGAGACCAGGAGTGTGAGATCAGCCGAGGCAACACAGCGAGATCCAGTCTAACTAAAACTTAAAATTAAAAAATTAGCCAGGCATGGTGATGCATGCCTGTAGTCCCAGCTAGCTGGAAGGCTGAGGTAGGAGGATCCCTTGATCCCAGGAGCTCGAGGATATACTGAGCTATGATCACGCCCCTGCACTGTAGTCTAGATGACAGAAAACATCCCATCTCTAAAATAAAACAAAAGAAACAAACGCAAACAGTACACAGCGTGAGATGGGCTGCCAGCATGGAATTGAGAACTGTGCAATACTGGGACCCAAAGGCAAGGTTCACAGAGGGTATCATCAGCATTTAATTTACCTGCTTGCCTCAGAATCTGAGCTTTCTGCAGGGTCTACCTGTCCTCCTGATGGCACACGTACCCAGGTGGACCTCCCACCATGATCACAAACACTAGTATCTTCCAGAGACCTGTTTCTCTTTTTCTTCCCCCAGGAAGAGGGTCTCACTCAGTCACCCAGGTTGGAGTACAGTGAGTGGCACGATCATGTCTCACTGCAGCCTCGACCTTGTAGGCTCAAGCAATCCTCCTACCTCAGCCTCCCAAGTAACTGAGGCCATGGGCACGCACTACCACACCCAGCTCATTTTTGTAGAGATGGGGTTTGGCCACGTTGCCCAGGCTGGTCTTGAACTCTTGAGCTCAAGTAATCTGCCAGCCTCAGCATCCGAAAGTGCTGGGATTACAGGCACGAGCCACCATGCCTGGCCCTTAAGATGTTTCTTTATCCCCTGGAAGTCTGTACTTCCAGGAAAGTCATACCATAAAGTAATGACAGAGCTATTTATAACCTGAAAGTATATTCAGTTCCCTCCTCAACAAATGATATAAGTCTCATCACTACTGCCTAATCAGGCCCTTAACACCTTCCCCCTCAATTTCAGGAATGGTCTTACCAGTCTCATTATGCCTCTGCCCTATTCAAATCTTTCAACAGTTCCTCCTTTCTTACACCAGCACCTGGGCTAATCCTGTTAGTGCAGCATATAAAGTCCTCCACAACAGAGCTCAGGATTCCTCTTCAGTCATTCACCAAACACTGTGCTCATACCTGTACCTTTTTCTCTAGCCACAGTCAACAACTGAGAGGTCCTGAGATAGAGCAGACTATTGACTGCCTCCTGTCTAGGTGTCTTTCTTTACCTGATGCTTTCCTCAGCAGCCTCATTCTTCAGACACTCCTCCCTGCCCCAGCCCGATTCCCCAGGTCAACTTTATCTTGCCCTCCTCCATTCAGCCCCCCTTAATAGAAAGAGAGTCCTCTTGTCCAGGCATGGCGGCTCAGGCCTATAATCCCAGCACTTTGGGAGGCTGAGGCAGGTGGATCACCTGAGATCAGGAGTTTGAGACCTGCCTGACCAACATGGAGAAACCCCGTCTCTACTAAAAATACAAAAAGTTAGCCAGGCTTGGCTAATGCCTGTAATCCCAGCTATTCAGGAGGCTGAGGCAGGAGAATTGCTTGAACCCGGGAGGTGGAGGTTGCAGTGAGCCAAGATCGCACCATCATACTCCAGCCTGGGCAACAAGAGTGAAACTCTGTCCCCCCCCAAAAAAAGGAAAGAAATGGAGTCCTCTCTTGACAGTGGTTCTCAATGTAAGAGAGGCAGATATCACAATGATGGGGGGCATTTGAAAAATATAGAGTAGTTTTGGTTGTCATACAACTTGAGGGGCATTACTGTGGAGGGCAGTAACCAGAGAGCTAAATACCTCACAATGCAGGGGACAGGCCTGCAGAACAAAGAATGTTCCCACAAGAAATGCCAACGGTGTCCCTGTTGAAAAATACTGCATAACAATATACTGTATCATACTCATTTGTGTTTTTTTGGTTTATTTACTCTGCACTGTCTGTTAATTCCTTCAGCCATACTCATTTGTTAATGTGGCTATCTTCCTACCGCACCATGAGCTCCTGGAAGACAAAGACCATTTTCCTTCAGTTATATCCCTAGTATTTAGCACAAAGACTGGCAGAAGGCAGATACCTGATCAACGCTTGCCAATGAAGGAGGCAGGTTCTAGGCACTCCAAGAGAATGGAACTCTATCTGTTCTGCTCACTGCTGTATGCCTAACACAGGACAGCACTCAATAAATGACTGCTAAATGAATGGATGTCAGAAAGTGAGCTAGGTGACTCAAATCCAGGTCTTTTATTGTTGAGGGGTACAGTCCACAGTGGGAGAGAAAAGACATGTTCACACAGTGCTCTGCAGGAGACTAGCAGGTTCCAGGAGAGCGAGTCAGAGGCGGTATTGAGGGAGGGGCCTAGGGAAGGAACAGGTGTTACACGCTGGGAGGATAAGGAAAGCGATCGAGCATGAAGTTATCCTGGAGCACAGGGGAATGTGGATAGAGAGCCAGAGCACAAGCATGTCAGGCAAAGGAAAAGGCACAAGCAATTATACTCATTCACTCACTCCCAGTTGAATATCCCTTATCCAAAATGCTTGGGACCAGAAGTGTTCTGTATTTCAGACTATGTTGGATTCTGGCTGTTTGGATTTGCAGTGTTTGCATTACTTACAGGTTGAACATTCCAAACCCAGTGAGCATTTCCTTTGAGCATCATGACAGTGGTCAAAAAGTCTGATTTTGGAGCATTTTGGATTTCACCATTGCAATGCTCAACCTATATTTAAATTATGGTTTACTATCTATCATGAACAGTCACTACTGCCAAGCACTAGAATGCAAAGATGCATAGCTCACTATTCTTCGGAAGCTTGATGGCCAGTGGTGAGCATTAAGAGGGTAAATAGCCGGGCGTGGTGGCTCAAGCCTGTAATCCCAGCACTTTGGGAGGCCGAGGCGGGTGGATCACAAGGTCGAGAGTTCGAGACCATCCTGGTCGACATGGTGAAACCCCGTCTCTACTAAAAATACAAAAAATCAGCTGGGCATGGTGGCGTGTGCCTGTAATCCCAGCTACTGAGGAGGCTGAGGCAGAAGAATTGCCTGAACCCAGGAGGCGGAGGTTGCGGTGAGCCGAGATCGCGCCATTGCACTCCAGCCTGGATAACAAGAGCGAAACTCCGTCTCAAAAAAAAAAAAAAAAAAAAAAAAAGAAGCAGGTATATAAGGCTGGGAGAGGTGGCACATGCCTGTAATCCCAGCACTTTGGGAGGCCGAGGCGGGCGGAGCGTGAGGTCAAGAGATTGAGACCATCCTGGCCAACATGGTGAAACCCCATCTCTACTAAAAAATACAAAAATTAGCTGGGCGTGGTGGCACGCGCCTGTAGTCCCAGCTACTCAGGAAGCTGTGGCAGGAGAATGGCTTGAACCCGGGAGGCAGAGGTTGCAGTAAGCCTAGATCACACCACTGCACTCCAGTCTGGCGCCTGGCGACAGAGTGAGACTCTGCCTCAAAAAATAAATAAATAAATAAATAAGGCATATAAATGATTAGTGAAAGGGAATACAGTGGGAAAGGTAGGCTGGGCTAGTTTATAAAGCCCCTTGGGCTCCAATTAATCAAAGGAGTTTTTGGGTTTTGTTTGAGATGGGGTCTCATTCTGTCACCCAAGTTGGATTACAGCGACGTGATCTCAGCTCACTGCAACCTCCACCTCCTGGCCTCAAGCTATCCTCTCACCTCAGCCTCCCAAGTAGCTGGGATCACAGGCACATGCCACCACAACCAGCTAATTTTTTATACTTTTTGCAGAGATGGGGTTTCACCATGTTGCTCAGGCTGGTCTTGAACTCCTAAGCTCAGGAGATCCACCTGCCTCAGCCTCCCAAAATGCTGGGATTGCAGCCGTGAGCCACTCTGCCTGGCCCAGTCAAAGGAGTTTAGACTTTAATCCAAAGATAATGAATAGTCACTGAAGGTTTTTGAGAAGGGAAGTGACCGGATTCAAGATCAGCTTTGGAAGACTTATGTGGTAAAAATGTGCAACATTAACAGAGAGAGGTCAGGTTGGAGAAAGGCAGATTAATTAAAAGACCATCAAGGCGCTCACACAAGAAGCAGTGAGGACTTGAATAAAACACAGGGCCACAAGGATATGGGGAGAAAGAATTCTGGTGAGTTGCTGTGGGTGATGAATTTGCAAGACCTGGCAAAAGGCTGCATGGGAAAGGGAAAAAGCAAAGCTGTCACAAAGGTTTGGAGCTGGAGGATCCAGGAGGCTGGCAAAGGGGAGAGTGGAAGAGGATCAGGATTGGAGCCATTCAGTTTGGAACGTACTGTTTCTTGGAACTTGAGGTAGCAACAGCACGTCTAGGTGGAGAAATACAAGAAGCACTCAGAAAAGTGGCTCAAAAGGTCAAGCGCAGAATAAAAATTTGAGGCCGCCTCAACAGTATTTATATTAGCATTATAGCCAGTCCGGGAGTGGTGGCCTACACCTGTAATCCCAGCACTTTGGGAGGCAGAGGCGGGCAGATCACTTGAGGTCAGAAGTTCGAGACCAGCCTGGCCAACAGGGTGAAACCCCATCTCTACTAAAAATACAAATATTAGCCAGGCGTGGTGGGCAACTGTAATCCCAGCTACTAGGGAGGCTGGGATTCAAGCATAAGAATCGCTTGAACCCGGGAGGCAGAGGCTGCTGTGAGCCGAGATCACGACACTGCACTCCAGCCTGGGCAACAGAGTGAGACCCTGTCTCAAAAAAAAAAAAAAAAAAAAAGCATTGCCAACAGTGGTTACTCTGTGATAGACACTACCAAGTACTTCACATGAATGGGTTTTTTTCCAAATTTCTCTTATCATATCATATAACACAGTACTCTTGTTACTATTTTCTTGTTACATTTGAGAAAACAGAGGCTCAGAGAAGGGGTTTACCCAGAGCTGGGATTAGAACCTAAATCTATATAAACCAGAGGCAGAGTGCTTATCCACACACCACCTCTCTGGAATAAAAAGGATCACTCAAGTCATCCATTATTAGTCAAATAGCCAGCGAATAATGCAAATTTAAAACAGAATTATTTGTCTGACACTGATTTCCACTGGTTCTCTCTCAATAATTCTTGTATCTCTTTTTCAACCTATTTCTCCAAGATTCCCTAAAAGGCAGGTCCTATGCCAGGAATCTGCTGTGCATGCCACTGAGGAGACTAGGAATTAACCAAGAATACTTTTATTTATTTATTTATTTTTTGAGACAGAGTCTTGCTTTCACCCAGGCTGGAGTGCAGTAGCACGATCTTAGCTTACTGCAACCTCCACCTCCTGGGTTCAAGCAATTCTCCTGCCTCAGCCTCCTAAGTAGCTGGGACTACAGGCACATGCCACCAACTAATATTTTGTACTTTTAGTAGAGACAGGGTTTCACCAGGTTAGCCAGGATGGTTTCAATCTCCTGACCTCATGATCCACCCTCCTCGGCCTCCCAAAGTGCTGGGATTACAGGCATGAGCCACGGCGCCCAGTCACCAAGAATATTTTTTAAAAGACTGTAGGCAGGTCATAGCAGCATCCCAGCAATGTTTTGTTTTTAAAACAGTATTACTGGCTGGGCATGGTGGCTCATGCCTGTAAATCCTAGCACTTTGGGAGGCCAGGGCGGGTGGATGGCTTGAGTCCAGGAGTTCAAGACCAGTCTGGGCAACATGGTGAAACCCCGTCTCTATTAAAAACACAAAAATTATCCAGGCATGGTGACACACACCTGTAGTCCTAGCTACTGGGGAGGCTGAAGCATGAAAATCACTTGAACCCTGAGAGGCGGGGGTTGCAGCAAGCTGAGACCGTGCTACTGCACTCCAGCCTGGGCGACAGAGTGAGACTGTCTCAAAAAAAACAAACAAAATAAAGCAGTATTACTGTCAGTTCCATCAACATGGGAATTGAAGGATTCACTCACTTGCATATAGTACTGAATTTAAAAATGTCTATTTTGACAAATAACCACTACAGAGCTAGCTTCAGACGTTTTCTGAAAGTGTGAAAGTTTTTCTCACCAAAACGTGAAATGCTTCATCATTCCACAGCAGGGAAAAATGCATCTGAATAATAGGTCTACTGCAGTGGCCCCCGACCTTTCTTGCACCAGGGATCAGTTACGTGGAAGACAGTTTTTCCACGGACTGCGGTGGAGTTGAGGGGTGGTTTGGGGATGAAACTGCTCCACCTCAGATCATCAGGCACTAGATTCTCATAAGGAATGTGCAACCTAGATCCCTCATATATGGACCTCACAAGAGGGTTTGAGAATCTAATGCTGCTGCTGATCTGACAGGAAGCAGAGCTCAGGCGGTAACTCTCACTGGCCCATGGCTCACCTCCTGCTATGCAGCCCATGGCCCGGTGTTTGGGGGCCCCTGGTCTACAGAATACTCTGACATAACAGAATAAGTCATTCTTAAATAAGTTTTCCATAATAGGCAGGTCACAGTGGCTCATGTCTATAATCCCAGCACTTTGGGAGCCCGAGGTGGGTGAATCATGAGGTCAGAAGATCGAGACCATCCTGGCTAACACAGTAAAACCCTGTCTCTACTAAAAATACAAAAAATTAGCCGGGCATGGTGGCACATGCCTGTAATCCCAGCTACTCAGGAGGCTGGGACAAGAGAATGGCTTGAGCCGGGCGCGGTGGATCAAGCCTGTAATCCCAGCACTTTGGGAGGCCGAGGCGGGTGGATCACGAGGTCGAGAGACCGAGACCATCCTGGTCAACATGGTGAAACCCTGTCTCTACTAAAAATACAAAAAAGATTAGCTGGGCATGGTGGCTCGTGCCTGTAATCCCAGCTACTCAGGAGGCTGAGGCAGGAGAATTGCCTGAACCCAGGAGGCGGAGGTTGCGGTGAGCCGAGATCGTGCCATTGCACTCCAGCCTGGGTAACAAGAGCAAAACTCCGTCTCAAAAAAAAAAAAAAAAAAAAAAAAAAAAAAGAGAATGGCTTGAACTCAGGAGGCAGAGGTTGCAGTGAGCCAAGATTGTGCCACTGTACCCAGCCCAGGCAACAGAGCAAGACTTTTGTCTCAATAAAAAAAAAAAGCTTTCCACAACGAAATCTTGGACATACACCAAATCATTTATTTCTGTGTACAGTACTTTTTCTGTCAAATTTCTTCATTTGTTTGTAATAGCTCTTCTAAGTTTTACTCGTCAGATGGGCTGTTCCTAACTACTGCAATAGCCCAAATGACTGTTAAGGGTCCAACTGTGTTCCCCCAAAAGACATGGAAATCCTAACCCCCATAAATATGAATGTGACTTTATTTGGAAATCAGGTCGTTGCAGACATAATTAGGTAAGATGAGGTCACACTGGAGTAGGGTGTGTCCTTAATCCATTATGATTAGCAGCATCCTGACAAGAAGAGACACAGAGACACATGAGAGAGCACCACGTGATGCCAGAGGCAGAGACTGAATGAAGTGCTACAGCTGCAAGCCAGGGAATGCCAGGGATTGCCAGCAAACCACCAGAAACAAGAAACAGACAAGGAAGCCTTCTCTCTTACAAATTTTAGAAGGAGCATGGCTCTGCTGACACCTCGATTTTGGATTAGTAGCCTCCAAACTGTGAGTCAATACATGTTCTGCTTTTATGCCACCATTTGATGGTACTTTGTGGTACCACTGTCCCTTGGAATTCACATGGGATTGGTTCCTAAACTCCCCACCACCACCTGCCAATATCAAAATCCACAAATGCTCAACTCCCCTATATAAAAAAGTGTCATATTTATGTAAGACCTATGCACCTTCTCCTGTATAGTTTAAATCATCTCTGGATTACTTATAATACCTAATACAATATAAATGCCATATATTGTTGTTATAAGGCCAGCTATGGTGGCTCATGCCTGTAATCCCAGCACTTTGGGAGGCCAAGACTGGAGGATCACATGGGGCCAGAAGTTCAAGACCAGCCTGGGCAACATGGTGAAACTTCATCTCTATTTCTCTATTTTTAATTTTTTTTTAAGATGAGTCCCACTCTGTTGCCCAGGCTGTAGTACAGTGGCGCAATCTCAGTTTACTGTAACCTCCACCTCCCAGGTTCAAGCAATTCTCATCCCTCAGCCTCCTAAGTAGCTGGGATTACAAGCATGTACCACCAAACCTGCCTACTTTTTGTATTTTTTTAATACAAACAGGGTTTCACTATGTTGGCCAGGCTGATCTCAAACTCCCGGTCTCAAGTGATTGGCTCACCTCCGCCTCCCCTCCGCCTCCCCTCGTGCTGGGATTACAGGCATGAGCTACCACATCCAGCCCTGTCTCTATATTTTTTTTAATGGTTATTATACTATATTGTGTTTTATTTGTATTAATTTTCATTGTTTTTTTCCAAACATTTTCAATCCATGGTTGGTTGAATCTGTGGATATGAAACCCATGGACACAGAGGGCCAACTGCACAACAGTCCTGGGAAATGAATACAGTAATCAATTCCATTCATTCCTCCCATAACACAGACTTCTGTGAAATTCTCCTGGGCAGAAGCAGAAATAAACACCTTAACATGGAGCTGTATATGATTAGAAAGTAATAAATATTGAACACCAAATAGTACATCAGGCTTTGCCCATAAGGAGGATATTAATAACCCACCATCTGTATGACATAGCTTTCAATTTTTATTTATTTATTTTTGACATGGAGTCTTGCTCTGTCACCCAGACTAGAGTGCAGTGGCATGATCTCAGCTCACTGCAACCTCCATCTCCTGGGTTCAAGCGATTTTCCTGCCTCAGCCTCCCAAGTAGCTAGGATTTACAGGCATCTGCCAACACGCCCAGCTAATTTTTTTTATTTTTAGTAGAGACAGGGTTTCACCATCTTGACCAGGCTGGTCTCAAACTCCAGACCTCATGATCCACCCACCTTGGCCTCCCAAAGTGCTGAGATTACAGGCATGAGCTATCGTGTCCAGCCTTCAATTGTTTTTCTAGAAGCAGTGAGTGGCATACCTGTCTACGGATACATAGGTAAATAAGCTTTTCTTGCATGGAGGCTAGCTGGTTTTACTTAAACAGTGGACAATCTTCAGGTGCATACCTACCTGGAACATTTGCATCTTCGCTTCCATGGATGTCTTCCCAACCCAGCTAACATGGCCACTGAACTTAATGTCCTGTTCTGGGCTCAAGCTCTTCTTACACATATCTGCAAAACGGAAGTCAATCAGGGTCCAATACACACTAAAACTTTTCTGTTCTGTAAATGGACAATTCGAAATTATGGCAAATTCCACTACACTTCTTTTTTGTCTTGAAAACTAAGAACTTTTTTGACACACAGAAGAAATCTAAGATAACTTTTTTGACACACAGAAGAAATTTTTTTTTCAAAAATCTGTGTTTTTCAAAAATATAAAGTAAAAAATAAAAATAAATAAAACTGGAATCATGCAAAACTCTTCCACCTAATTATAATAAATATCTTGGTATATAGCATTCTAGACATTTTCATGTGCATATATACATTAAAATTCCCCATAAAGGGCCGGGCTCAGTGGCTCATGCCTGTAACCCCAGCACTTTGGGAGGCAGAGGTGGCTGGATCATCTGAGGTCAGGCGTTCAAGACCAGCCTGGCTGACATGGTGAAACCCTGTTTCTACTAAAAATACAAAAATTAGCTGGGTGTGGTGGCATAGCCTGCAATCCCAGCTACTCAGGAGGCTGAGGCAGGAGAACTGCTTGAACCCAGGAGGTGGTGGCTGCAGTGAGCCAAGATCGAGCCATTGAACTCCAGCCTAGGCAATAAGAGCAAAACTCCATCTAGAAAAAAAAAAAGAAGAGTACTTCCAGTAATCTCAATAATATCTCGCAATTACTAAGAATTCTAAGTATGCACAGAAAATGATATGACTTACCAATCTTATCCACCAGGGCCGTAACTATGGATAAAGGAGACATCTTGGCTGAATGGATTTTGTTGTGCATGTAACAAATAAGAACTGCAGGAAAACAGGAGAGTACCAAATTTCAAAAAAGGCAGAATTATTTCCCAACATTTAAAATGTACTCCCTGATTAATTCAAGAAAGATGTTCAGGAAAAATAAAAATAAAAATAAAAAAAATAAAATAAAATTTACTCCCTGAAATCCATGAAAAGTCTTGTCTCATTTTGAGGACCCAGCCCCCAATATTGCATTGATGATCTTATCCTAGGACCAAAGACTTTTATAAATGGGAGGATTTGGGAGATCCTCCAATCTGACCGCCCCCTCAATTTTAAGATTTGGTGAAGAAAATAAAGCCCAAAGCAAGCCCAGAGCCACCAGGTGGCTTGTTACCGCTGCACACAGACTCAATGCCCAAATCAGAATAAGGACTCAGCACACGAGTCTGACAGTATCAAACATCTTCTGGAAAGAGAAACAAATCACAAGGACTTGGCTACCTGTTTTGCCCTTGGCTCTGTCCTAATTAATCATGAAACAATTATTTCACTCAGTGACCCCTCCTTCCCCATAACACCCTTGGCTCCTATACCACCCTGTGGTTATCTGTATATTTTCCATATTTTAACAAGTATTTATGTGTGCCAAGCATGGTTCATGCACCTTACAGACATCGACTCATTTGAAGTTGTATAATTATATGTTGACTGGCTCCCAGCTTTCCCCATGATCCATTCAAATTTGTATCACAAACTCTTAGGACGAGATACGTGGCTCAACAAATACTTGTTGAGGAAACATAAATCCTTCCATCTATGCACCTGCTAAAGGACGCACCGGAGGAATGATAGGCTAAAGGCAACAAACTCCATTTAAAAGTCTTTGTCCAGAAAAGAAATCAGATGGCTCTGACCTATGGCAACAGCAGTAGAAACGAAAAGACTACGAGTTAAGAAGAAGCTAAACCTGACAAGACTTGACAGTTTTCTAGCTTGGATAGGTAAGCATGGTGTACTAGTCACTGAAAAAGAGAACACAGGCCGGGCACAGTGGCTTGCGCCTGTAATCTCAACACTTTGAGAGGTCAAGGCAGTAGGATCACTTGAACCTAGGAATTCAAGACCAGCCCAGGCAACATAGCACAGACTCCATCTGTACCAAAAATACAAAAGTTAGCCAGGTGTGGCGGCACATGCCTGCGGTCCTAGCTACTCAGGAGATAGGTGGGAGGATTGCTTGAGCCCAGGAGGTCAAGGCTGCAATAAGCCATGATCGTGCCGCTACACTCCAGCCTGAACAATGAAGTAAGACCCTGTCTTATAATAAAGAGAGACTACAGGAAGAAAAGAATGGGCCATTTTCAATGTGCTGAATTTGAGGAGCCTATGGCACATCCAGATGAAGGTGTTGGGCAGGGCACAGTTGCTCACACCTGTAATCCTAGGGCTTTGGAAAGCCACGGCAGGAGGGTCACTTAAGCCCAGGAGCTTGACCACCCTGGGCAACATAGTGAGACTCCTGTCTCTACAAAAAACTTTAAAAATTAGGTCAGGCGTGGTGGCTCAAGGCTGTAATCCCAGCACTTTGAAAAACAGAGGCGGATGAACCACCTGAGCCCCGGAGTTCCAGACCAGCCCAGGCGATATGGTGAGATCCCATCTCTACAGTAAAATACAAAAATTAGCCAGGCATGGTGGCGTGTACCTGTGGTCCTAGCTACTTGAGAGGTTGAGGTGGGAGGATGCTTAAGCCCTAGATGTCGAGGATATAGTGAGCTGCGACTGCACCAGTGGACTTCAGCCTGGTGACAGAGCAAGACCCTGTCCCAAAAAAACAAATTAGCCAGGCATGGTGTTGCATGCCTGTATCCCAGCTACTCAGGAGGCTGAGGCAGAAGAAACACTTGAGCACACAAGTTCGAGGTTGCAGTAGGCTATGATTTTACCACTGCACTCCAGCCTGGGCAATAGAGTGAGACCATCTCTAAAAGAGAAAAAGAAATCTAGTAGCTAAGAGGAAAAACTGAAACTCAGAAAAGCAGGCCAGGAAATGTAGCTTCTTACGTATTCAGCGTACTGATAGCAATTGACACAGTGGGAGTAGATGAGTTTATAGAGAATGTGCAATGTCTCCTCCAACCTCCTGAGAGAAATAACAAAAAAAAAAAAAAAAGAGAGAGAATGTGCAGTGTCAACCCAAAGAAGGGCAGAAGGGAAGGGTAGAGAAGAGACGGAGAAAAACGTAATATAAATATATTTTTTACCACTGATCTGTGCACTTAAAAATGATAAAGATGGACCAGGTGCAGTGGCTCACACCTGTAATCCCAGCACTTTGGGAGGCCGAGGCAGGCAGATCACCTGAGGTCACAAGTTCGAGACCAGCCTGGCCAACATGGTGAAACCCATCTCTACTAAAAATACAAAAATTAGCTGGGCATTTTGGCAGACATCTGTAATCTCAGCTACTCGAAAGGCTGAGGCAGGAGAATCACTTGAACTGGAGAGGCAGAAGTTGCAGTGAGCCAAGATCGTGCCACTGCACTCCAGCCTGGGCAACAGAGTGAGACTCTGCCTCAAAAAAAAAAAAAAAAAAAAAGAAGCCGGGCGCAGTGGCTCAAGCCTGTAATCCCAGCACTTTGGGAGGCCGAGGCGAGTGGATCACGAAGTCAAGAGATCGAGACCATCCTGGTCAACATGGTGAAACCCCGTCTCTACTAAAAATACAAAAAAGTAGCTGGGCATGGTGGCGCGTGCCTGTAATCCCAGTTACTCGGGAGGCTGAGGCAGGAGAATTGCCTGAACCCAGGAGGCGGAGGTTGCAGTGAGCCGAGATCGCGCTATTGCACTCCAGCCTGGGTAACAAGAGCGAAACTCCGTCTCAAAAAAAAAAAAAAAAAAAAAAGATAAAGATGCTAAATTTTATTTGTATATTTTAACCTCAACTAAAAAATAGGGCTGGGTGCAGCAGCTGATACCTGTAATCCCAGCACTTTGGGAGGCCACGGTGGAAAGATCCCTTGAGTCCAGGAGTTTGGGACCGGCCTGGGCAATGTGGCAGACCTTATCTCTACTAAAAATAAAAAAAAAAAAAGCCGGGCGCGGTGGCTCAAGCCTGTAATCCCAGCACTTTGGGAGGCGGAGGCGGGTGGATCACGAGGTCGAGAGATCCAGACCATCCTGGTCAACATGGTGAAACCCCGTCTCTACTAAAAATACAAAAAAATTAGCTGGGCATGGTGGCACATGCCTGTAATCCCAGCTACTCAGGAGGCTGAGGCAGGAGAATTGCCTGAACCCAGGAGGCGGAGGTTGCGGTGAGCCGAGATCGCGCCATTGCACTCCAGCCTGGGTAACGAGAGCGAAACTCCGTCTCAAAAAAAAAAAATAAAAAAAAAATAAAAAAAAAATAAGTCAGGCGTGGTGGCTCACACCTGTAATCATGGCACTTTGGGAGGCCGAGGCAGGTAGATCACGAGGTCAGGAGATTGAGACCATCGTGGCCAACACGGTGAAAGCCCATCTCTACTAAAATACAGGTGTGGTGGTGCATGCCTGTAGTCCCAGCTACTCAGGAGGCTGAGGCAGGGGAATCACTTGAACCCGGGTGGTGGAGGATGCTGTGAGCCAAGATTGTGCCACTGCACTACAGCCTGGGCAACAGAGCAACACTTTGTCTTAAAAAAAAAAAAAAAAAAAAGCTGAGCATGGTAGTGTGCATCCATAGTCCCAACTACTCAGGAGGCTAATGCAGGAGGACTGCTTGAGCCCAGGAGGTTGAGGCTACAGTGAGCTGTGATCACAATACTGCACTCCAGCCTGGGTGATAGAGTGAGATCCTGTCTCAAAAACTAAATAAATAATTTTAAAAGATTTAACTATTTTCATTGTTAAATTTTAAAATGTCTTAAAATTTAATTAACATGAGCAAATTATAAAATTCAAAAATTAAATAATCCCTTTTTGGAAGGACAGAAGACAAAACCCTGAGGATAACCTACATTTAAGGGGTCAATAGAAAAAGAGGAACCTACAAAGGAAACTGCAAAAGAGCAGCCAGCTAAGCAGAAGGAAATGTCACCAAGGCCCAAAGATGGGCTGGACAATAACAGAAGCCACAGAGGGGTCAGGTCAGCTCTGAAAAGTATCCATTTGATTGTGCTCTAAAGGGGTGAACGGCAAGGTTGGCAAGAGCAGTTTCAATGGTGTGGAGGAGCAGAAGCCAGAACGCAGAAGATGGGCAAATATTTAATAACAGGAAGGTAGCACACAGAGGCAATTAGAGCAGGTGATTTTCCCAGTTCTTTTAAGAAAGTGAGCTATGAAGTGAGGAAGAAAGTGTGAGGGTGTTTTAAGGAAAGAGGATTTTACTTATCTTTTTTTTTTTTTGAGACAGAGTCTCACTCTGTCACCCAGGCTGGAGTGCAGTGACGAGATCTCAGCTCACTGCTGCCTCCGCCTCCTGGGTTCAAGCCATTCTCCTGCCTCAGCCTCCTGAGCAGCTAGGACTACAGGCATGCACCACTACACCTGGCTAATTTTTGTTTTTGTTTTTGTTTTTTTGAGTCAGAATCTCGCTCTGTTGCCCAGGCTGGAGCACAGTGGCACAATCTCTGCTCACCGCAACCTCCAATTCCCAGGTGCAAGCGATTCTTGTGTCTGAGCCTCCCAAATAGCTGGGATTACAGGCGTGCACCACCATACCCCACTAATTTTTGTAGTTTTAGTAGAGATGGGGTTTCACCATGTTGACCAGGCTGGTCTCGAACTCCTGGCCTCAAGTGAACCACCCACCTCGGCCTCCCAAAGTGCTGGGATTACAGGTGTGAGCCACCCCACTCGGCCTATTTTTCATTTTAAGATGGAAGAACCTTGAATATGTTTATAACTTGAAGGAAAAGTGAAGTTGAGAAAAGGCTCAGGAAATGAGGGAGAAAGCCAAGTGATAAGGCAGTTCCTTGAAGAAATACAAGGAACAGAATCAAGTGAACAGGTTAAAGGAACTGGCCATCAGCAGGAGTTAATGAGTAAGAAAGAGGGTAATGGCAGGGGAGTTTGTCTATATAAGGACACCTAAGCAAGCCAAAGTCAACCAGGCTGGAGTGCAGTGGTGTGACCACAGCTAACTACAGCCTCGACTTCCTGGGCTGAAGCAATCCTCCCGCCTCAGTCTCCTGAGTAGGTGAACTACTAGCGCACGACACCACACCCAGCTAATTTTTTGGTTTTTGTGGAGATGGGTACTCACTACACTGCCCAGGCTGGTCTCAAAGTCTTGGCCTCAAGCAATCCTCTCGCCTTGGCCTCCCAAAATGCAAAGATTACAAAGGGTTACAGGTGTGAACCACCATGCCCCGCCAGCCAAGAATCTTTTTTTTTTTTTTGGAGACAGTCTCACTCTGTCGCCCAGGCTGGAGCACAGTGGTACAATCCCAACTCACTGCAACCTCCACCTTCTGGGTTCAAGCAATTCTCCTGCTTCAGCCTCCCAGGTAGCTGGGATTACAGGTGTGTACCACCACACCTGGCTAATTTTTTGTATTTTTAGTAAAGACGGGGTTTCACCATTTTAACTGGGTTTATTTAATCTAGAGAAAAGAAGTTGCTAGGTGTAAGCCTAACAACAAGTTTATATCTATATTTTAAAAGTTATGGGCCGGGCGTGGTGGCTCACACCTGGAATTCCAACACTTTGGGAGGCCGAGGCGGGTAGATCACGAGGTCAAGAGATCAAGACCATCCTGGTCGATATGGTGAAACCCCTTCTCCACTAAAAATACCAAAAATTAGCTGGGCATGGTGGCACGTGCCTGTAATCCCAGCTACTCAGGAGGCTGAGGCAGGAGAATTGCCTGAACCCAGAAGGCAGAGGTTGCAGTGAGCCAAGATCGCACCATTGCACTCCAGCCTGGGTAACAAGAGTGAAACTCCGTCTCAAAAAAGAAAAAAAAAAAGTTAGGGCTGGACATGGTGGCTCACGTCTGTAATCCCAGCACTTTGGAAGGGTAAGGCAGATGGACCACCTGAAGTCAGGAGTTCAAGATCAGCCTGGCCAATGTGGTGAAACCCCATCTTTACTAAAAATATAAAAATTGGCCAGGCATGGTGGCACATGCCTGTAATCCCAGCTATTCGGGAGGCTGAGGCAGAAGGATTGCTTGAACCCAGGAGGCAGAGGTTGCAGTGGGCTGAGATTGCACCACTGCACTCTAGGCTGGGCAACAAGAATGAGACTTCTTCTCAAAAAAAGAGTTAGGGCAGGTGCAGTAGCTCACACTTGTAATCACAGAATTTTGGGAGGCTGAGGCAGGAGGATCCTTCAAGCCCAGGAGTTCAAGAGCAACCTGGGCAACATACGGAGACCCCATCTCTACTTAAAAAAAAGTTTTTAAAAAAGACATTAGAGCCTTTCTTTGGACCTCTTCTTAACCATTCAGTCCAAATGTCATTAGGTAGAAGCAAGTGAGATTGCCTAGAGTAGGGTGTTGGCACCCAAGCGGGTGAAGAGGACATCCTGCAGAGGAGCTGCAAGAGTGATGGCACAGTGTGTCACAGTTTGAGCACAATAAAGAAGGTAAGCCTGTAGCGGGGGACCTGGTATGGGGTACCAGGTGAGGTGAGGGGAGCATCCATGATGCATGAAGGGTGGCAGCCATAGGAAACTGGTCACATACAGGGGAACTGATTAAACAAGTAAATATATTAAGGAGAATGAAGCCAGTTGCAGAAGGGAATTACAAATATGGAAAGGAAGGAAATGAGAACGAACCCCATGGTGGTTGAACTGGAATTGGAGCTATCAGTGTGATACCATCATTTTCATACATACTATACAACAAAGATTTAGAAATAGCATAGATGGGCCAGACGCGGTGGCTCATGCCTATAATCCCAGCACTTCAGAAGGCCAAGGTGGGCGGATCATGAGGTCAGGAGTTCAAGACCAGCCTGGCCAACACGGTGAAACCCCATCTTTACTAAAATTACAAAAATTAGCCAGACGTGGTGGCAAGCGCCTATAATCCCAGCTACTCAGGAGGCTGAGGCAGGAGAATTGCTTGAACCCAGGAGGCGGAGGTTGCGGTGAGCCGAGATTGCACCACTGCACTCCAGCCTGGGCGACAGAGCGAGACTCCATCTCAAAAAAAAAAAAAAGAAATAACATAGATGTTAGATCCTCAGAGTAGCCTTTTCAAGTAAAGAAAAAAAGCATAGATGTATATATATGCACATCTATTTCCCAGCTCATCCATTAAGAGGGTATGGGAGCAATGATACCCAGGAACAATGACTACTCCAAACGCATCTATCTCCATCCCTAAACATCATCCTCCATTTCAAAATATCATTCTCCATTTCAAAAAAGGGCTTCTTGGAGATGTGGCTGATTCTAGGACTGGGGCAGGGAAAGTACAAGATGAGCCTAGAATATCTTATTGTGCCAGAAAGTACTCAAAAAATAATGGGAACACATCAAAAAAAATCCACACAGAAGCTAGACTGAAGGGACTGGGACACTCCCAGGATGATTTGAACAAAAGATAGATGACAGTAACATATCACAGTCCATTCAATAAAACAGGAATTCCTGAGTTCATACCAATTTAAAAATAATGAATCGAAAGTCTGATAAAGGTCTCAAAGTTACTCACCCCCCACCCCATGACGTACTTATTAATTACAAAGGGGAAAAGAGTAACTTTACAGTGAAGAAGAGCAGCAGACATCATCACCATCCAGTAAGCAAAGCTGATGTCATCAGTAATGGGACAAATCAAAACCATGCACCACTTGATAGGATGCAGTAAGAACAGAGCATCCCTTCTGTGACATTCCTGCCAGAGATGCATAACCCAAAGCTAATCATAAGGAAGCATCACACAGACCCGAATCGAGGGACAATACACAAAAGAACCATGTCAAGGTCACGAAAGCCTAAGAAAGATGAAGGCACTAGTCCTGACATGATAACTAAATCAACATATGATTCAGAACTGGATCCTTCTGCTATGAAGGACCACTGGCAAAAGTTGAATGGCGCCTGAGGATTAGACTTTCCTGATTTTTTTTTTTGAGACAGGGTTTCACTCTTGTTGCCCAAGCTGGAGTGCAGTGGCGCAATCTCGGCTCACTGCAACCTCCGCCTCCCAAGTTCAAACTATTCTCCTGCCTTGGCCTCCTGAGTAGCTGGAATTACAGGTGCTTGCCACCACATCCGGCTAATTTTTGTAATTTTAGTAGACATGGTTTCACTATGCTGGTTAGGCTAGTCTTGAACTCCTGACCTCATGATCCACCCCCCCTAGGCCTCCCAAAGTGCTGGGATTACAGGCGTGAGCCACCGTGCCTGGCCAATTTCCTGATTTATTATGGTTGTTTTGTAGTTATGTAGAAGCATGCCCTTGTTTGTAGGAAAGACATATTCAAATATTTGGGGGTGATATAGCATCATGTCAGCCACTTATTCTCAGATAATTCAGGGAAGAACAATTCTTCATACTGTATTTGCAACTTTTCTGCAAGTTTAAGACTTTTTAAAAAAAAGTTACTAGTAAGAAAGATTATTCAGACTATATATCCATTAAATAGGAATCTGCATAGGAAAAAAATTATGACAATTCAGAAGTAGTAGATGCCCTTCTTTTTTGTGCACTTTAGAATATTCCCATCTGTGCAGTTAAATAAAAAGGCTGTTTCTAGTCACAGAATTCAATGTATATCTGTAAGTATCTATTAGAAAGACTAAAATAATACCAGTACCTCCCAAGCTGTCAAGATCCTCAAGAATCCTGCCAAATCTGTGAAATAAAGCAAACTGTGAATTAAACAAAAATCATGTCTCCCTTCGAAAATAAATAACACACTTCAGGGTAATGAAAACATTCTAAAATTGATTGTGGTGATGGCTGCACAACTCTAAAAATACCAAAACCATGGCATTGTACACTTTAAACAGGTGAATGGTATGGTATGTAAATTATATTTCAAAATTGTTATAAAACAAGGGAATAAAATAAACACAAATACATAAAAATAGCACTATGTTACCTTACGGTGTTTTGAACAGTCAAATATTTCTCTCGTAATTCAGGCTCACTGCCCAAAGGCAAGAGAACTTCAATATAACTGTCCTTCATTCTCCTAGGGGGCAGTGCATCCTGTGATTTGGCCAAGAAACTATGAAGTAACTTTCTTTCTTCCATTGCCTTCACATGGTCTCTGAGAAGAAAGGATGCAGGATTCATAAAACAAGAGCACTTCTAACCCACAGTTCCAGTGGTACACAGGCCAGTAAGATACCATCAAAGGAGGAAAAAGAAGATCTGGACCTACTTTCACCTTTTCATCCTCCCTCCCTTCCCATCCGCCACTTGGTGAAACTGATCGTTTCTGGTATCATTTCTCAGACTTAAAAACATGCTTAAGGCTGGGAGTGGTGGCTCACACCTATAACGCCAGCACTTTGGGAGGGCGAGGCAGGTAGATCATCTGAGGTCAAGAGATCGAGATCAGCCTGGTCAACATGGAAAACTCCATCTCTACTAAAAATACAAAAAAATTAGCCAGACATGGTGGTAGGCACCTGTAATCCCAGCTACTTGGGAGGCTGAGGCAGGAGAATTGCTTGAACCTAGGAGGCAGAGGTTGCAGTGAGCCAAGATCGCACCACTGTACTCCAGCCTGGGCGACAGAGTAAGATTCTGTCTCAGAAAAAAAAAAAAAAACTTAAAAGTGATATATATAAACATATATATATATATATATATATATATATATATATATATATACCCAAATGAGCTACATATTCACCCTTATCAAAAATCATACTCAAAGACTAGAATATTTGAAATTAAATTAAAAATTCAGAGAGATGGATACAATAGTGTGTGTGTGTGTGTGTGTGTGTGTGTAAAAATATATATATCTAGGCTAAAGAATGGCTTGGCCACTCTACTTGATATTCCCATTTCTTGGACTCTCTGAATCCCAGTTCTCTCTCTCTCTCTGCCTTCAATTTCAGGAAAGAGAGAGAGAGGAGGGAAAATGGACTATATCCAAAGGAGGTATGGAAGGCAGAACAAAAGGTAAAGAAGAACGGAACATGAAAAGGAGACAGAAAGGGAAGAAAAAGAAGAGAAGATTAAGGCGGAAGAGAAAAGAGAGACAAGGGGATATGGAACAGCAATGTTGACAAGAACATTAGCTAAGATGTCTTTCTAAGCTTAACTTACAAAGAATTATTTCCAGAAATGTTTAGCCTACAAAAAATACAAGATATAGAGGAAAGTGTTAAATGACACCAGTAAATCCAGAATGTGGAACATTCTCAAGACAAATGGCTTGGCCTCCTTAAAGTCAAGCTCACGGGGGAAGAATGACTGTCCACTAATCTAGATTAGGGGAGACTAAAGAGTCATAACCATCAGACACAATATGCAATCCTTTACTGGATCTTGATTTTTTTTAAAAGCTATAAAAAACATTTTTGTTAAAAGGAGTAATCTACTGAAAAAAACTAGAAACAGTTGAGGAAATGTGACTATGGATGATTAATGTACTACCAGGGAATTGCTGTCAATTTCATTACATGTGAGAATGTCTTATTTGCTGGAGATACATGAAGGCTGGTTTTATAAAATATTTACTGGAGATGCATGCTGAAGTGTCATGGTGCCTATAATTTACTTAGAAATGGTTCAGTCACTATGTGTATATTGGCAAATTTGGCAAAATATTAATAAGCATCGAATCCAAGTGGTGGGTACACAGGAAAGTATACATTCTTTCTACTTTTTAGTAAATTGAAATTTTTCATATAAAGAATTTAAAAATAGGCTGGGCATGGTGGCTCATGCCTGTAATCCCAGCACTTTAGGAGGCCGAGGCGGGCAGATCACAAGGTCAGGAGATGGAGACCATCCTGGCCATGGTGAAACCCCGTCTCCACTAAAATACAAAAAATTAGCCAGGCATGGTGGCACATGCCTATAATCCCAGCTATTCAGGAGGCTGAAGCAGGAGAATCGCTAGAACCTAGGAGGCAGAGGTTGCAGTGAGCTGAGATCACGTTACTGCACTCCAGACTGGCAAAAAGAGCAAGACTCCATCTCAAAAAAAAAGAATTTAAAAATAAGTGATTAATTTCTATACCAACAATAGATTATTTTTTTTTTTTTTTTTTTTTTTTTGAGACGGAGTTTCGCTCTTGTTACCCAGGCTGGAGTGCAATGGCGCGATCTCGGCTCACCGCAACCTCCGCCTCCTGGGCTCAGGCAATTCTCCTGCCTCAGCCTCCTAAGTAGCTGGGATTACAGGCACACGCCACCATGCCCAGCTAATTTTTTGCACCTTTAGTAGAGACGGGGTTTCACCATGTTGACCAGGATGGTCTCGATCTCTCGACCTCGTGATCCACCCGCCTCGGCCTCCCAAAGTGCTGGGATTACAGGCTTGAGCCACCGCGCCCGGCCTAGATTATTATATGTCTAGTGATCACTCGTGTTTTTTTCTATCTGATTTTAGCCTCAAAATTCTGTACACCAACAGGGATATGATCCTATTTTACAACTAGGAAATATTATGAGAAAGAGAAAGACGATATGGGAGACCGAATTCTGAACCGACAAGAAGGAGTCAAGCTGCATGAAACAGAGAAACTAAGAGACTTGGGTTCAAGTCCCAAACCCTAACATTTAATCATTCAATCTTTGAGTTTCAGTTTCATGTGTAAAAAAGGAACAGGAACATATGTCATGAGTATGTCACAAGTTTTGAGAATCAGTGAGGTAATATACCTAAATGCACTCTGAATAATGCAGAATATATGTAAATCATATTCTTTCATGACAATGAGGTGTCCTCTGATGAGTATGTTGAAATGTTGACCTTTTCCCTCAAGCAAAATACTTTCAACCTATCTCTGAACACAGGGCTCCCCATCCCCACTGTGAGACCACCGACTGAGCCTAAATACAGCCTAGTATAATACCTTGGGTATGAAAAGAATGAATGAAAACAAAGATGCATACCTCCAGTTTGTGGATGCTCCTACTATCTCCCGCAACTTATCTCGAACTGAAACAAAAATAAACAGGTCATTCCATGAAACAAAGGAATACGAGAAACAGATTATAGCAATGAGCTCAAGAACTGTGAAAAGCAATTCATGTATGCAAAAGATTTAAAGATTCACAGACTTCCATTTAATGCCACAACAAGCAACACAGGGACTGGATTGAACCTCTGCTCCCTAAAAACCTGAAACAACTATACTGTCTCCTTAGTGCACAAATGAATACCTTTGTGTCTATCACTAGGATTTATATGAACAAACAAAAAAGGGTAACTTCAATTATTCATTTAATGGGCTGTATCAGTATTAGCCCGACGAGAACCACTATGATGGAGATATGAACAGGATTCCCACCTATCTTCTTTTTTTTTTTCTTTTTAAGACAGAGTCTCGCTCTGTCATCCAGACTGGGGTTCAGTGGCACAATCTTGGCTCACTGTAACTTCTGCCTCCTGGGTTCAAACAATTCTCCTGCTTCAGTCTCCCAAGTAGCTGGGATTACAGGTGCTGCACCACCACACCCAGCTAAGTTTTATAGTTTTGTTTCGTTTGAGATGGAGTTTCGCTCTTGCTGCCCAGCCTGGAGTGCAATAGCGTAATCTTGGTTCACTGCAACCTCTGCCTCCCAGGTTCAAGCGATTCTCCTGTCTCAGCCTCCCAAGTAGCTAGGATTACAGGCACACGCCACCATGCCCGGCTAATTTTGTATTTTTAGTAGAGACAGGGTTTCACTATGTTGGTCAGGCTGGTCTTGAACTCCTGACCTCAGGTAATCCACCTGTCTCAGCCTCCCAAAGTGCTGGGATTACAGATTTGAGCCATCGCACCCAGCCCCGACTTAGCTTCTTATACACAGTATTAGATCAAATTACTTAGTTCAGGCACTAATACTAATATCCAAACCTGAGTCTCATTATAATTCATTTCTCATATTTATAGTCTCCTGGTTGTTAGAAAAGTTTAAGCCAGAAAAATAAAGCAAAGACTTATATCAAGCTAAGGCAAATAATGCAATTTTAGTTAATGCCACTGCCCAAAAGTGCAAACGTATATTAGCGATTACAAAATTCAAGTACTTAAAAGAAAAGCTGATACTAATTACCACACACACCATGATTCACATGTATAGGTGAACATGCTATATGAATAAAGGGAAAAATCAATTAGAAAACCAGCAATAATTTGAAAGTAAAAAATAACTCTGGAGTATTTCAAATACTGTCTTGAGTTCACATGTTTTTTCCTAGCACTTCAAAATATATATTCCAGTTACAGGAAATTATCTATAGTAATTCTCAGTCCTTCAGTAATGAACTGATCAAAACCAAGTATGATTCATTTTAACATGCATTTTAACATGAAACAATGGTTGACTTTTCTATCAATTATGGATACACCATAAATTTGGCATATAATTACAATTAAATCATAGAGAACTGCAAACAACAACCATTAGTACTTTAGTATTATTTCTAATTTTTCCTCCTAACTTCCTTGAATAAAAGAATAGACAGGGCCGAGGTGGGTGGGTCATGAGGTCAAGAGATCAAGACCAGCCTGGCCAACATGGTGCAACCCCATCTCTACTAAAAATACAAAAATTAGCCTGGCATGGTAGCGGGTACCTGTAATCCCAGCTACTCGAGAGGCTAAGGCAGAGAATCGCTTGAACCAGAGAGGCAGAGGCTGCAGTGAGCCAAGATCACGCCACTGCACTCCAGCCTGGGTGACAGAGCAAGACTCTGTCTCAAAAAAAAAAAAAAAAAAAAAAGAATGGGCAGGCTCACATGGTGGCTCACACCTGTAATTCCAGCACTTTGGGAGGCCAAGACAGGCAAATCACTTGAGGCCAGGAGTTCAAGACCAGCCAGGCCAACGTAGTGAAACTCCGTCTCCACTAAAAATACAAAACTTAGTCAGGCGTGGTGGTGCATGCCTGTAATCCCAGTTAATCAGGAAGCTCAAGCAGGAGAATCTCTTGAACCCTGGAGGCAGAGGTTGTACCGAGCCAAGATCCTGCCAGCCTGGGCGACAAAACAAGACTCCATCTCGAAAAAAAAAAAAAGAATGGACAGAAGGTACCTCAAATAGTATATGGACTACTGATGCTCACTGACATAAAATAATTACTACTAGCTTAGTCAGCGTAAGAAGAAAAGCAAGTAGGCCAGGCGCAGTGGCTCACACCTATAATCCCAGCACTTTGGGAGGCCGAGGTGGGTGAAACACAAGGTTAGGAGCTCAAGACCAGCCTGGCCAACATGGTGAAACCCTGTCTCTACTAAAAACACAAAAAATTAGCTGGGCGTAGTGGTGGGTGCCTGTAACCCCAGCTCCTAGGGAGGCTGAGGCAGGAGAATTCACTGAACCCAGGAGAATTCGCTGGAGGTGGCAGTGAGCTGAGACTGCGCCACTGCACTCCAGTCCTGGCGACAGAGTGAGACTCCGACTCAAAAAAAAAAAAAAAAGAAGAAGAGAGGCAAGTAGTGAGGGCCAAGGAAAAAATTTTAAATTTTATTTACGAATATTTATATACATATATAACAAATTTATTTGGACCCTTTAAAGAAGCCACAATTTTAATTATAATGAATACTCCTAGTTTAATAAAGACAGTCCATAGTTTACATATCATATTGGTAATTGAAATTAACTTTCATTAAACATGGACTAACAGGATCCCTTGAACATAACTATGAACTAGGAGTGTTTACGTGGTACAACTAACAGGCCCATTTTTTTTCCGTTTTTCCATGTCTTCAGAACCTACACACAGGAAGTGGAAATCACTTAACTAAAAGAGCTCAGTCCCCAAGGTTCCCAGGAACAATAGTTCAAAATCTGAATGTGACTTCTACCCGAAGCTATTAATATTATGCAGCTATCCTGGTCATTTTGTCAAGAAACATTTATGAAAGGTCTACCTTTAATATGCCTCATTTGCTCTAAACTATCATTCTATAGACCTCTCAAATAAAAGTAAAACAAGGTTTTTCAGCACGTAGACATAAAACATAGACACCATGCTTGCCTTCATGAATGTGGAAGATTCCCTGTTTCTTGGGGTTCTGGGGTCCTTGAGTCAGTCCTCTTCCAGGAGTAAGCTGCCCCTTGCCCAAGGCACAAAGCCTATAAAACAAGATAAAACAGAGTAGATTCCATGGCTTATTCCCCAGCAACCCCAAAGACCTACCCTCCTCCCAGACTACCTGGCCATAGCACTCCCTTTTTTTTTTTTTTTTTTTTTTTTTTTTTTTTTTTTTTTTTTTTTTTTTTGAGACGGAGTTTCGCTCTTGTTACCCAGGCTGGAGTGCAATGGCACGATCTCGGCTCACCGCAACCTCCGCCTCCTGGGTTCAGGCAATTCTCCTGCCTCAGCCTCCTGAGTAGCTGGGATTACAGGCACGCGCCACCATGCCCAGCTAATTTTTTTGTATTTTTAGTAGAGACGGGGTTTCACCATGTTGACCAGGTTGGTCTCGATCTCTCGACCTTGTGATCCACCCGCCTCGGCCTCCCAAAATGCTGGGATTACAGGCTTGAGCCACCGCGCCCGGCCAGCACTCCCTTAATATATATTGTCTTGCAGGAGTTTGCAGTCGTTTCACAAGTATATGTATATTTGCATATGAGGCTATTACATAAAGCATCTCTCCAACTAGAGCAAACATTTCTTGAGAGCAGAGACCAATTAGGTAATTATATACAAAATAAATAAATGACGGCAACTAAGTTTAATGAATTTATTATTGGTCTTTCTATTTGATTAGTTTCAGAAGTCCATAATTGATTTGGTAAACAACTGAGCAAACTCATTATGAACTGTTTATTCTGTCCTTTATTATCACATCATATTTCCTCAATAAATAAAATAAACCTAATTATAAAGTAAACTTTGAACACTGAATTAGCCCTTTCCAGATGCCAAGAAAGTATTTATTTAACTTACACAGAAATCTTCTAGAGTCCCAACACAATGAAATAAAAGCTATCTATTGGCTACAGTGGCACATGCCTGTAATCCCAGCATTTTGGGAGGCTGAGGAGGGTGGATAGCTTGAGCCCAGGAATTCAAGACCAGCCTGGGCAATGTGGCAAAACCCTATCTCTACAAAAAATACAACAATTAGCCAGGTGTAGTGGCATGCACCTGTGGTCCCAGCTACTCAGAGGCTCAGGTGGGAGGATCACTTGAACCCAGGAGGTCAAGGCTGTAGTGAGCCAAGCCTGCACCACTGCACTCCACCCTAGGCAAGACTGAGACTCTGATTCAAAAAAAAATAAAAAATAAAAGCTATCTACCTAAATGTGCCTAACCTACTCTCCCAAAATAAGTTGATTTTGGTTCACTATTGCTTAAATGTTGACACCTAATCACACAATATTATGTCAGGGGTAGCATATAGACAATATCACAGATTAACAAACTGATCTGCAAGAGCATGGTTGAAGAAGGCAAGGCACTGAATAGATCAAGAACCCACAGGCTGAGCAAAATGGCTCATGCCTGTAATCCAGCACTTTGGGAGGGCAAGGCAGCCGGATCACTTGAGGTCAGGAGTTTGAGACCAGCCTGGCCAACATGCTGAAACCCTACCTGTACTAAAAATACAAAAATTAGCTGGGTGTGGTGGTGGGCGCCTGTAATCCCAGCTACTTGGGAGACTGAGGCAGGAGAATCACTTGAACCCAGGAGATGGAGGTAGGTTGCAGTGAGCTGAGAACACGCCACTGCACTCCAGCCTGGGCAACAGAGAGAGACTCTGTATCAAAAAAAAAAAAAAAAAAAAAAAACCCAGACACTGTCACTCATTCTAGTTCAATTTACTAGTAAATTCTTACTACCTAATGTGAGAATAAGCAATAACAAAAAAAAAAAAAAGGATATTTTTAGTTTTCTTTAGAGACCAAGCTACTATTGATTTCTCTTCTGAATGACAGCAAAGAAAGTCTCTCAGTATTTACAGTATTCTGTAAAATCCACATGCAGTTTTGAAACTGTGCTGCTAGAACAAATCCTTATCTTTTCACCAAGTCAACTCATCTAATTGCACAGAACACAGAAATATGAGCACATGCTCACTGGCTAATTGGACTTCTTAATCACCGTCTTTTTTTTTTTTTTTTTTTTTTTTTTGAGACAGAGTTTTGCTCTTGTTGCCCAGGCTGGAGTGCAATGGCACTATCTTGGCTCACTGCAACTGCCACCTCCTAGCTTCACACGATTCTCCTGCCTCACCCTCCCGAGTAGCTGGGATTACAGGCGCACACCACCACACCCAGCTAATGTTTTGTATTTTTAATAGAGATGGGATTTCACTATGTTGGCCAGACTGGTCTTGAACTCCTGACCTCATGATCTGCCCGCCTCGGCTTCCCAAAGTGCTGGGATTACAGGCATGAGCTACCTAGCACACGACCTCACCCAGTCATCTAACTTGGTTGCAACACAATCCCTGCTGGTCCACTAAGACCAAAATTCTTGCTGGAGGGTTTGGGATTTTGGATCTCTGTTTACTCTTCAATCATACAGCTAACAAGCCTCTTTCTTATATATTTTAGCTTTACTTTTTCACAAAAAATATTCCATTCCTGTACTTTTGCATGTAGATTAATATTTGTCTTTTTGGTTTTGGCCATCTAATCTGCATTTTCTCAGAACATGATTTTCCGTTTTTTTTTTGTTTGTTTTTTTTTTTTCATTATTTCATTCTGTGTATCTTCTGTAGGTTCATATGCCTTACTGAAGGAAATAGAGTATGTATTCCTTCCTTCTTCCATCTCAGATACAAGTGGCCGGGCGTGGTGGCTCACGCCTGTAATCCTGACTTTGGGAGGCTAAGGCGGGTAGATCACCTGAGGTCAGGAGTCTGAGACCAGCCTGGCCAACATGGTGAAACCATGTCTCTACTGAAAATATAAAAATTAGCCAGGCATGGTGGTGCATACCTGTAGTCCCAGCTACTTGGGAGGCTGAGGCAGGAGAATCACTTTAACCCAGGAGGCAGAGGTTGCAGTGAGCCAAAATGGCACCATTGCACTCCAGCCTGGGCAACAGAGTGAGACTCCATCTAAAAAAAAGAAACTAGGCCGGGCGCAGTGGCTCAAGCCTGTAATCCCAGCACTTTGGGAGGCCGAGGCAGGTGGATCACAAGGTCAAGAGATCGAGACCATCCTGGTCAACATGGTGAAACCTCGTCTCTACTAAAAATACAAAACATTAGCTGGGCGTGGTGGCGCGTGCCTGTAATCCCAGCTACTCAGGAGGCTGAGGCAGGAGAATTGCCTGAACCCAGGAGGCAGAGGTTGCGGTGAGCCGAGATCGCGCCATTGCACTCCAGCCTGGGTAACGAGAGCGAAACTCCGTCTCAAAAAAAAAAAAGAAAAAAAGAAAAAGAAAAAAAAGAAACTAGCATTCTAAAACTGAATATATCTGGTTTTAAAGAACACACTGGAAAAAGCTAATCCTTTCTATTGCTACCATTAGCTGAAAGAGCAAAAAAAAATCACGCCTCCAACATATTAATAGCAACTATAATAGATGCATTAAATGTATCCGATATAAGAAATGGGACTTGATTCTGAATGGCTAAATACCTTGAATACGTATCACTAACAGGAGCTATATAACCAGTCTCACATATCTGAATAAATACAAATATACACAGAAACTGTTCTCCTACCCTAAAAAGCAGCATTTTCTGAAGAGGGATGAAAATCATTTCATCCTGCCTGTGTGAGACAATATAGTATAGGGGTTAAGAGCCCAAAGGCTGTGCGCAGTGGCTCACGCCTGTAATTCCAGCACTTTGGGAGGCCAAAGCAGGTGCATCACTTGAGGTCAAGAGTTTGAGACCAGCCTGGCCATCATGGTGAAACCCCATCTCTACTAAAAATACAAAAATTAGCTGGGCATGGTGGCAGGCACTTGCAGTCCCAGCTACTCCGGAGGCTGAAGCAGGAGAATTGCTTCAACCCAGGAGGCAGAGGCTGCAGTGAGCTGAGAATGCGCCCCTGCACTCCAGCCTGGGCAACAGAGCGAGACTCCATCACAAAAAAAAGAGCCCGATCATGCTGCTTGTTAGCTGAGTGACCTTAGAAAAGTCACCTAACCTCCCTGATCCTCAGTCTCCTCATCTGTAAAATGGGGATAACAATAGTACCTATCCCATAGGATTGTCAAAAGAATAAAGGAATTAACACATATTAAACCCTGAAGGGCATGTCTAGAAGAGCGTATCTAATATACTGACAAGCCCTAAAAACACTCTAGCTATTATTATTTCAGAAAGTCATGCTTCTCCAAAGTCTCCCCAAAAATCAAAAAGCAAGAAACATGCTGGGCACAATGGCTCATGCCTGTAATCCCAGCACTTTGGGAGGCCAAGGTGGGAGGATCACTTGAAACCAGCATGGGCAACATATGGAGATTCCATCTCTACAAAAATATTTTAAAATATTAGCCAGGCATAGTGGCATACGCCTGTGGTCCCCGTTACTCAGAAGGCTGAGATAGGAGGATCACTTGATCTCCAGGAAGGCCGAGGCTGCAGTGAGCCATGATTGCACCACTGCACTTCAGACTGGATAAAAGAGCAAGATTCTGTCTCAAAAAGAAAAAAAAAGGGGGAGGCCAGATGTGGTACCTCACGCCTGTAATCCCAGCACTTTGGAAAGCCAAGGCTGGCTAATAACCAGGAGTTCAAGACCAGCCTGACCAACATGGTGAAACCCAGCCTCTATTAATAATACAAAAATTAGCTGGGCATGGTGGCAGGCACCTGTAATCCCAGCTACTCGGGAGGCTGAGGCTGGAGAATCACTTGAAACTAGGAGGTGGAGGTTTCAGTGAGCCGAGATCTGGTCATTGCACTCCAGCCTGGGGAACAAGAGTGAAACTTCATCTCAAAAAAAAAACAAAAAAAAAAAAAAAAGAGGAAAGAACGAACCAAAAACTTATCCTCAGCCGGGCACTATCATGGACCACTGCCAAACACAGAATCAAATGAGGGGAGAAAAGAAGGGAATTAATGAATATGGAGAAACACTTGGGCCAATTTTTTGGAAAATCGTGGTCCTAGAGCCCCAATCTTTGCATGCTGCCTTGTCCTAGAGCCCCAATCTTTGCATGCTGCCTTAAGTTCAACCATTGTGGAAGACAGTGTGGCGATTCCTTAAGGACCTAGAAATGGAAATTCCACGTGACCCAGCAATCCCATTACTGGGTATATATCCAAAAGATTATAAATCATTCTACTACAAGGACACATGCACATGAATGTTCATTGCAGCACTGCTTACAATAGCAAAGACCTGGAACCAACCCAAATGCCCATCGATGATAGACTGGACAGGGAAAATGTGGTACATATACACCATGGAATATTATGCAGCCATCAAAAACGATGAGTTTGTGTCCTTTGTAGGGACATGGATGAACCTGGAAACCATCATTCTCAGCAAACTGACACAAGAACAGAAAATCAAACACCGCATGTTCTCACTCATAGGCAGGTGTTGAACAATGAGAACACATGGACACAGGGAGGGGAACACTACACACTGGGGTCTGTTGAGGGGAAATGGGGGAGGGACGGGGGGTGGGGAGTTGGGGAGAGATAGCATGGGGAGAAATGACAGATATAGGTGAAGGGGAGGAAGGCAGCAAATCACACTGCCACGTGTGTACCTATGCAACAATCTGGCATGTTCATCATATGTACCCCAAAACCTAAAATGCAATAAAAAAAACACACACACAAATAGACTATCAACCCCTTCAAAAAAGAAATTCGGAAATACATTCCTATAGCACAACAAAGGCATAATTTGAATACTTTGGCAACGTTGCTTATACCAATAGCATATTGGTAATAATAACTCTATATCATACTGCTAACATAGTATTTGGGATTATTTGGGTAATGGTAACTTTTTTTTTTTGAGACAGAGTCTCACTCTGTCACCCAGGCTGGAGTGCAGTGGTGCAATCATGGCTCACTGCAGCCTCGACCTCCCTGGGTCTCAAGTGATCCTCCCACCTCAGCCTCCTGAGTAGCTGGAACCACATCTTGGCTCAATGCAGTCTTCACCTCCTGAGTTCAAGCAATTCTCATGCCTCAGCCTCCCAAGCAGCTGAGGTTACAGCTGTGTGCCACCATGCCAAGCTAGTTTTTGCATTTTTAGTAGAGATGGGGATTCACCATGTTGACCAAACTGGTTTTGAACTCCTGACCTCAAGTGATGCGCCCGCTTCAGCCTCCCAGAGTGCTGGGATTACAGGCGTAAGCCACCATCCCTGGCATATAATGGTAACTTTTCACTACATTTGGCATCCTATCTACAGATAATGTGATGGAAACTGTGGACCTCAAGCAGGCATGGGGAGGATTGGAATATAGTTTTGCTCACACACAAAATGGTATATACTATTTCAGGGAGTGCACAGACCCTTTTTGATACTCCCATGTCCCTCTATATTTGAAGATTCTGATTCAAACCAACCTCCTTAAGAAACTGAGGCCGGCCAGGCCCGGTGGCTCATGCCTATAATCTCAGCACTTTGGAAAGTCGAGGTGGGTAGATCACGAGCTCAAGAGATTGAGACTGTCCTGGCCAACATGAACAAATGTCCCAAGCTTAGAGCAGGTGGCAAGGAAGAGTCTTCAGTGCAGTAACAGGCAATGCTACTCACATGTCCTTCACTCTGAGGAAATAACATCTATTTAGAGACTACACAAAGTCAAGGGCCTCTTGCAAGTCTAAAAAAGAAGCTATAAAGGTTGCCCACCAGTCAAAGAACCTAATCATCTCAGTCTGTATTCATTTGTGAACTCCTCCTCTCACTAAACACTGACAGATTATCTGCTTAAGGTTCAATAGTTTTTTGTTTGTTTGAAACGGGGTCTCACTGTGTCGTCCAGGCTGGAGTGCAGGGGCGTGATCTCCACTCACTGCAACCTCAACCTTCTGGTTTAAGCGATTCTCCTGACTCAGCCTCCAAAGCAGCTGGGACTACAGACATGTACCACCACGCCCCGCTAATTTTTGTATTTTTAGTAGAGACAGGGATTTTGCCATGTTGGCCAGGCTGCTCTCGAACTCCTGGCCTCAAGTGATCCATCCACCTCAGCCTCCCAAAGTGCTGGAACTACAGATGTGCACCACCACACCCGGCCTCAATATAACTTTCAAGAAAGGAACACGGTGTTATGAGAGAAAGTACTTGACCAAGACCGCAGAGCTTTTGTAGATTTTTCACATTGCAAGCTAAAGCCAACTGCGGCCCCTCTCATAATAACTTTCAGTCTGTCTTCAAATAGTTTAACCAAGGCTTTTTAAAAAGTCCTATAAACAAGACAGACAGAACCCTCACAACTGATAACAAAGTCCTCAGGAACCTTGAGAGAGATCCAGGACTCCCAAAGGAATTGATGAGATCAGTGTGAGTCAAAAGCACTATGAGTCAGATCGGGGGACAGGCCCACTGGTAACAAGATAACTTCATGAACTGGAGTAGATGTGAGCCCCCTGGGATACAGCCAGGCAGAAAACTTGGACAGGCTGGCATGCTGGGATGAAAGGGATTAGGGAGAGCCAGACACGCTCTGGAGTCTAAGGCCCGTAGGCCTTAACTGTGCCAGCTGGGAAGATTACATATACAAAAAGGCATCCCCCTCACGTGGCCCAATCAAAGCATCCCGTCTCTTATACGGGCTTTGTGGCTCATTAAATGTAAAGTTCAAATCGGCACCAGGGCCCTAGACACAGTCCTAACTAACTAAGGTCCTGAGAGCCAAATGGTACCCTGTAATCTCTGCCAATGTTACAACAAACTTAGGTCAGAGCCCAAACAGGTCAAGCATTTAATCCTAAAAATGTTCTCCAAAGGAGGATGAAGGGCTAGAGGTAACGTGGAACTCCAAATATATCTGACAAGGGGCTACCCCAAAGCGGCCGCCAACCACTCCCCTGATGAGCAAGGAGAAAGGAATTTCAGGGAACACCCAACTTCCTCCCTTAAAACTGCCGCTTTGCTTTTAATGTTAACTCAGTGCCAGAAGTCGCCAACACGGGAGCGAGGTTCTCCCAACCCAAGGCCGGCGGACCCCTGTCCGGCCGGAGTCACAGCGAGCGAGCTCCCCTTATCATCGAGCCCAAATGTCCACGCGTTATTCCGCCCGCCCCGGCCCACTTCTTCCGCCGGGGTTCGCCAGGAGCTCAGAGGGAAAGTGGGGACGCCACAGGCTACCGCCCTGGCAGCCCCTTCCACGCCCCGCCACCTACCGCAGTGCTGCCCGCCTCATTGCGTCAGGCTGCTGTGCGCGCGATGGAGAACCGGGCCCCGCGCGCTGGTCGGCGGAGGGAAACAGGCGATAAAACGGGGAAACAGGCGATAAAACAGACGCGGACGCAAGCGCGAGCACCAAAGCAAGCCTCACTCCTCCGACCGCGCCCTGGCTGAGAAACCGCCCCGGCGCCGGACCACTGTGTCCGGGGGCGGGGCCGCAGCGTCCGGGGGCGGGGCCGCGCTGTCCTGGGCAGATCCTACCCGTTCATTGGCGGGAGGCTGGAGTCCGCCGCTGCGGAGCTTCCCACTCAATCTGTGCGGGGCGTGTTGCTAGAGCGAGGCCAGCCCATTCTCGGTTGAGTAAACGAATCACGCAGCACCGCCAGGGCGTGACGTCGAGAAGAGGCGCGGCCCTGCCCGGTGGAATTTATCTCCTTTATCCTTGACCCTTGCGCCTTGGCTCAGTCTGTTCTTGCCCTTGACTGCACGTTGGAGTCTTCCGGACAGCTTTACAAACTACTGATGCTTGGCCGGGCGCGGGGGCTCACGTCTGTAATCCCAGCACTTTGGGAGGCCTAGGCGGGCAGATCACCTGAGGTCAGGAGTTCGAGACCAGCCTGGCCAACATGGAGAAACCCGTCTCTACTGAAAAATACAAAAATTAGCCCGGAGTGGTGGCAGACGCCTGTAATCCCAGCTACTCGGGAGACAAGCAAGAGAATCGCTTGAACCCGGAAGACGGAGATTGCGGTGAGCCGAGATCGCGCCACTGCACTCCAGTTTGGGTGACATAAGGAGACTCTGTCTGAAAAAATAAAAAAATACTGATGCTTGAGACCCACTGACTGGAGATTCTGGTTTAGTCTTGGGTGCTGTCTGGGCTTCGGGATGATGTCTAAAGATGCCCCCAGGTGATGCTAACGTAACCAAAGGCTAAGAACCACTGACCTAAAGGGAAAAAATTGTTCCTCTTCTCTTTCGGCCTAACCTCTAATGTTTGACATCTTGGCCAAGCAGACAGATTCAAGGCCAGAGAGTTTAGGATGAGTTCACCCTACGACATAATTCTCCATTTCTTTCAATGAATTCTTATTGAGCTGTTTGCATTGTGCCAGGCACTATTGCAGAGGCTGGGGTTCCAAAAACAAAAAAGGACAAAAATCCCCGCCCTTAAGGGGCTATGGATGAGGAAGGAAAACAAATCAGCAAACAAGTTAGCAAATAACATGATTTCAAATATGGTGAAGCGGTTTAAAGGGGAAATAAGGTAATGGGGATCTTTTGAGAATACATGCAAGTCTTGCTTTGCCTCTAAAGATGGCAATTTCCTAAAAGGCAAGGGCCGTATGCTTTTTCGCAGTACCCCATACTTAGTAAAAAATGCATTGATTCGCATTAAGTTAGCTTTCTGTTTTGAATCACTTCGTGAGTTACACATGGAGCATGGTCTTTGGCTTTCTACCAAATTTTCCCTGCGTTTATCAATCCCATAGCTGGAAGACTCCCCTTTTAACCTGCAAGGATCTCTCCTTCATAATTGTTCACATTGTACCTTTTCAGTGATTGTCTAGTTGGTTTTGTGTCAGCCATACTTCTTTCTACTCTACCACACCTAACACAAAGAACAATAAATATTGTATTGAATTATACTATTTTTGTTCTTCTTTTTACTTGAACTTTTTTTTTTTTTTTTTTTTTTTTTGAGATGGAGTTTTCGCTCTTGTTACCCAGGCTGGAGTGCAATGGCGCGATCTCGGCTCACCGCAACCTCCGCCTCCTGGGTTCAAGCAATTCTCCTGCCTCAGCCTCCTGAGTAGCTGGGATTACAGGCACGCGCCACCATGCCCAGCTAATTTTTTGTATTTTTTAGTAGAGACGGGGTTTCACCATGTTGACCAGGATGGTCTAGATCTCTTGACCTCGTGATCCACCCGCCTCGGCCTCCCAAAGTGCTGGGATTACAGGCTTGAGCCACCACGCCCGGACTACTTGAACTTTTTGTTGAAGCAATAGGAGGCTCAGGAAGAAAAAATATGCACGAGAGAATTTTTTGTAAATGGTATAATAGGTAGGAACCGTTTATAGCTTTTCCTGCAATCAAGTCATCTTCCATCAATTTCCAAATTATAAAGACACATTTTCATCAATGTAATAAACAGCATCGATTTTGGCTGGAACAGCTAAAACCAGGGCCTTAATGCCATGCAGATGCCTTCTCTGTATTGCTTATCTTTGCTTCACCTTTGCATACTGGCTTCATTATTTTTTCTCTCTAAGTAATGGCATTCTCCATATGGCAATAGAAGCTCCTGAACTTTGACCAGGCGCGGTGACTCATGCCTGTAATCCCAGCATTCATTTTGGGAGGCCGAGGCAGGTGGATCACCTGAGGTCAGGAGTTTGAGACCAGCCTGGCCAACATGGTGAAACCTCGTCTCTACTAAAAATACAAAAAATTAGACAGGCATGGTGGTGGGCACCTGTAATCTCAGCTACTCAGGAGGTTGAGGCAGGAAAACTGCTTGAACCCAGAAATTAGAGATTGCAGTGAGCCAAGATCGTGCCATTGCACTCCAGCCTGGGTGACAGAGCAAGACTCTGTCTAAAAAAAAAAGAAAAAAGTAGTTCTTGAACTTTACATCTTACAGCCACACATATACAAACTGACCCAAATTTCTATAGCCCAAGTACAAAAAAGTTCTGAGAAGAGAGTCATTGGTCCGGTTGGGGTCAGTTACACACTCCTGGACTACTCAACTATACTGCCGGGGGAAGGAACCCTTGCCCTGACTTACCAGGAACCCCATCACCCAAACTCATGGCCAGGTACTGGATCACAATCCACCAACAACATCTGTGTAGTTATTTCCATAAGTGACCACACAGATGGGGATACAGAGCACCTTCTTAGAAAAGGAATACTGAGGGCGGGCGCAGTGGCTCACGCCTATAATCCCAGCACTTTGGGAGGCTAAGGTGGGCGGATCACCTGAGATCAGGAGTTCAATACCAGCCTGGCCAAAGTGGTGAGGACCACCCCCCTGCTCCACGTCTCTACTAAAAACAAAAAATTAGCTGGGCGTGGTGGCGCATGCCTGTCATCCCAGCTACTTGGGAGGCTAAGGCAGAAAAATCACTTGAACCCGGGAGCCGGAGGTTGCAGTGAGCCAAGATGGAGCCTTTGCACTCCAGCCTGGGTGACAGAGTGAGACTGTCTCAAAAAAAAAAAAAAAAAGGAAACAAAACAAAAGGCATACGGAGCAGCCAACCACATAGATGACCACTACAGATGTTAAAGAGGAAAAAAATAAGCACATCACTTAGCCCATCTACTTTACTTCTAACTTCAAGGAACCCCTGCTAGACCCAGCCTGCCCAGCATTCATCCACGAGTCTCTAACTATCTCAACTGGCAGCATGCATAAATTTCTTAAAACAGCCGAGGGGCACGGTGGCTCATGTAATCACAGCACTTTGGGAGGCCAAGGTGGGTGGATCAACACATCGAGACCAGCCTGGCCGACATGGTGAAACCCCATCTCTACTAAAAATACAAAAATTAGCCAGGCATGATGACATGCACCTGTAATCCCAGCTACTCGGGAGGCTGAGGCAGGAGAATCTCTTGAACCTGGGAGGCAGAGGTTGCAGTGAGCTGAGAGCCTACCACTGCACTCCCGCCTGGCAACAGAGCAAGACTCCATCTCAAAAAAAAAAAAAAAAAATTCTTTAACAGCTTAGCAACTCTGATTTCTGTGTGTGGTGGTGTTGTCGTTATTGTCAAGCACAGATGCTCTACCACATTTTGGATAGCGGGGAAGGAAGGGGAAGTGGTCACAAAACCAGCTCAGGAAACATACAACAATTGTATAGTAGTGAGAATCATTGATCTTAAGTAACAGATTCTCTGCCCAACCTTGTTGTTTCCTGTTATGTTCCATTAGTTCTATTTCAATATGGTCTCAGGGTAACAGAGATGGCATCAATTGTGTAATTAAAAGTTACCTAATCATGCATTGACAGATACATAAGACATTATTAATGTCATTATTACAAGCAGAACAGTAACATCAAATAACAAGGCTGGAAGCAGTATCCCAGCACTTTGGGAGACTGAAGTGGGAGGATTGCTTAAGAACAGATGGCTCACACCTGTAATCCCAGCACTTTGGGAAGCTGTGGTGGGTGGATCACCTGAGGTCGGGAGTTTGAGACCAGTCTGGCCAACATGGTGAAACCCCGTCCCTACTAAAAATACAAAAAATTAGCCAGGTGTGGTGGCACATGCCTGTAGTCCCAGCTACTCTAGAGACTTGAGACAGGAGAATCACTTGAACCCTGGAGACGGAGGTTGCAGTGTGCCGAGACTCCTACAGGTAGGAAAGGCGAAGTCATACTCAGAGAAAGTATTGATTCCTGTGAGAGCAAATCTCTGGTCCTTCTCAGGTGCAGTGGCTCACACCTGTAATCCCATCACTTTGGGAGGCTGAGGTGGGTGGATCACGAGGTCAGGAGATCGAGACCATCCTGGCTAACACGGTGAAACTGGTCTCTACTAAAAATACAAAAAATTAACCTTGCGTGGTGGCATATGCTCATAGTTCCAGCTACTGGGGATACTGAGGCAGGAGAATTGCTTGAACCTGGGAGGCAGAGGTTGCAGTGATCCGAGATCATGCCACTGCACTCCAGCCTAGGCAACAGAGTGAGATACTGTCTCAAAAAAAAAAAATTAGCCATGTGTGATAGCATGTGCCTGTAATCCCAGTTGCTCAGGAAGCTGAGGCAGAAGAATCACTTCAATCCAGGAGGTGAAGGTTGCAGTGAACTGAGATCAGGCCACTGCACTCCAGTCTGGGTGACAGAGGAGATTCCATCTCTCTCTCTCTCTCTCTCTCTCTATATATATATATATATAGATAGATAGATAGATAGATAGATATAGATACACACACACACACACACACACACACACATATTTTTTAAATCTCTGGCCCTTTTAAAGTAATAGGGGTCCAATGTCACCAACTTGCCAAGTAGCTTGTGGGTCTCCTTGAGGAAGAGTGCCATATCAAGGAACCCGGCGTTGATCTCTGGCAGCAGGTTGGACATTCAAAGGCAGCAGTAGCCAGATGAACCTTAGTAATTGAAAGTCCATGCTGTTGAGCCCTTGAGGCCTGAGAACCTGGGGAAAGCACTGGTGCAAGTCCCTGGAGCTGTGAATGTCCCTCAAGTCTAACTGCAAACACAGCAGGCATAACTGCACTCCCAGATACAAGGAAGCCCCATGCTTGGGGGCCAATCTCCAGGTCAACAT